ACATTTTTCACAACCGAATCTTTGCTTCAGTCCAGCTAGCCGAATATGGCATGTTGTATCTTGACGGCTTTTGTCATGAACAGAATCATCAGAATCTGCGATACTTTTGATATACGCTTCCTCGAAATCAAATACAGCGATGCAGAAGACAGCTGCGCTCCGGCAGAGTCGATGAAGAAGAGGACAGAGTCAAAGACATGCCGCATCAGCATTGGTGGTATGACATGTGGTGCTTGCGTTGCAGCTGTCACAAAAGAGCTGGACAATGTTGTTGGTGTTCTCAGAGCGAATGTCTCGCTGCCTCTTGGTCGTGCCAGCATATTCTACAATCCCGCCTTGACTACCTCTGAGAGATTGGTGGAGGCAATCTGTGTTGCGGGCTACGAGGCTACACTCGGGGAAAGGAGTTCAGAGGAGGTTATGCAGAGACTGCGACAGTCAAAGGAGCTGCAATCACTTCGAGATGCTATATCTTCAGCGAGTGTATGTTCTACACTTATCCTTGGCCTGGAATATGTCCCCACATTCTTGGGCAAGTTCTTCTTGGCGTCTGCAAAGCGTGGAGTGATTCCCTGGCTACTGCTTTCGATGGCATTCAGAGTTCAAGCTTGGGATGCGCGGACAATCCATTTCCGAGCATGGTCAAGAAAGAGCAAACTGGCTGTCACCATGGACACGCTATTGAGTCTGTCGCTCATTCTCGGCCTTGGTTTATCCGTATTGCAAACGGTATCTGGGGGTTTGGCGATGAGCTCACAGCTATATGCATCCTCGGGCTCCTTTCTGACTGTTGTCATCCTCGCTGGTAGATATCTCGAAGCAGTCCTACGGAAGGAGAGTAATGCGCATTTGATAGCGCTTTACGAAATGAAGGCAGAGAAGGAACTCTACCAAATTTCCGGAACTGATATTGTGCTGCCAGCATCGCTGTTGGAGAAGAGCGACGATGTTGTCATTATGCCGCAAGCTACCGTACCATGCGATTGTTATATCGTTGAGGGGAACTCAGCCATTGACGAATCGACCATCACAGGAGAAGCGTTGCCCGTAACAAAAGAGATGGGAGATTTTCTGCTTGCAGGAACGAAGAATCTATCCCGTCGGCTGAGGGTCATCATATGTCAGGATCAGAGCGAGTCATCCCTTGCCAGGGTTATCGAAGGTGTGTCCACCGCCAGCGAGCAGCGACGAGAGGGCATGGAGCCACTCGACATGATCATGAAGGTCTTTGTGTCTGGGGTCATGCTGCTAGCTCTCATATCATTTGCGACTACTCTCATCTATCACTGGGGCTCACCGGGCTTGGATGTCATCACAGCCGCATGTGAGCGGGCCATGACTGTATTGTCTGCTGCATGTCCTTGTGGGATAGGTCTGGCGACCCCGTCCGCAGCCATGGCTGGCGTTGATGCTGCATATTCCCAAGGTGTCCTTTTGAGTGGCGGTATCAGAACTATGCGAGCCCTATGCAAAGCCACACATATCGTCATGGACAAGACCGGAACTCTTACAAGAGGCAATCTTGATGTCGTGAGCCACCGTTTCGATGGAGAAGTTAGGTTCAACGAAGATACATGTTTTCGGCTGTTGGCGGCCGCGGAAGCAGAAGACGCTCGTGTTCATCCCGTTGCGAAAGCAGTCTTCAAGTGGGCGCTGACCATGAGCAATTCAAGCGGTATGGTGCGCTTCTCAGAACACGTAAATAAAACACGCAATCTCAGATCTGTCCCTGGTAAAGGAACGAGCTGCCAAGTCCAGACTCTCGCCAACGTCTGGACAGAGGTTAGCATAGGATCGGCGGCATACCTGGAAAAAAGCGGCATCGAGGTCGCACTCGAAAGTATCGAAGCCTCCAGAGTGTACTTCGCTTTTGACAGGCGGTATAGCGGTTACATATGTGTTCAAGACACCATCCGCCCCGAAGCTTCTTCAGTCATCCAATCTCTCCTGTCAGACGGCTTGCGAGTCACTATGTTGACTGGCGATTCCGAGCCCGAGGCGTCGCGCATATCATCAGTCCTTGACATTCCCGTCCTTGCATCACGCGCGTCTCCTTTTGACAAGATGCGGCACGTTCAAGACTTACAACAAGAGGGCTATTGCGTCGTCATGGTTGGCGATGGCGTCAACGACTTTCTCGCACAGTCAACAGCGGATGTAGGCGTGTCTGTATCGTTGGTACAAGGCTGTCTGGCTCGCGCAGGGAGCGTAGTCATATTATCAGGCAACTTGCAATGTCTTGCTGCTGCGTTCTCCATCTCAAGACAAGTGGTGGCTCAAGCGAGGATAAATGTAAGATGGGCTTTGATTTATAATTTCATTGCTCTGAGTCTGGCCTTGGGCTTGTTCGAGGGCTGGGGCATTGTTGTTACACCGTGAGTCAAGTTATCCAGTAGAGTTTTTCAAGAAGCTACTGACCATCGTTTAGTCCTGTGGCTGCCAGTATGATGGCAACGTCAAGCGTTAGCGTGCTCTCTATGAGCCTTTGGCTGAGGTATCGGCTCCGAGTCCACAGGAGTTGATATTGCCAAGGATAGGCTACTCCTCCAAGGGTAGCAGTGAACGAGTTTCCCCAAGTAGTCCGAAGGCTTCAGTTGCTCCGGTCTAGTACAATGTTACGCCCTGCATATACGACCTCGTATCATTAGCCCATCGGCATTTTAGCCTATAGACAAATAATCCTACGGAAGAATTCACTTGGACTTATAATTGATTGACTAAGAAACAAGCGTATCTAGCCCGTATGACTATAAAGTTCAAGCCCCGAGTGTTTTCTTCCATTATGCACTGCTCCTTGTGCTCTACCAACGCTCAATACTCATATCTACCTACTTCCCCTTATCTGTCCCCGTCAACTACGGAAACAAGCTCACCACTCACTATCCACACACCAACACACAAACTATCACAATGCATTTAAGCATCTATACTACGCTCCTCATCCCGACACTTGCAGCTGCCGGCCGCCTCGGCGGCATCGACATGAACCGTGCCTGCAGAGACCAGTATGGGGGCAGCTGGTCCGCATACGTGTCACTCCAAGGAGGCGGGTGCAACGCCTGGAGGTGTGCTTATAATGGAGGGGAAGCCACTCCGCGCAGTATAGATACGCCGAGGGCATGTGTGAATCAGTATGGTGGCGGAGCGTATGCGCTGTGCTATAACGGCGAGTATGATTGGAGTTGTTTTAGAGATTGAGTTGGGGAGGTGTGAAGTCTACATTCGTGTACGTTGGGGTCAAGTCGAGAGTCTTGAGGGACCTTTACAGTTAAGCCTGCATAAACGAGGGTAAATGTGTCTTCCGAGAAGTTGATACGATCTGGGAGAAGGATGTTAAAAAGTCTTTAGCGGACAGGTAGATGAATGACACGATCCCTTTGCCCACAGTTAGAAACACGTCGCAGCGGCTAACAAGATTGAAGACTGCTTGTACGTTGCCAAACTGATCTCTAGGAAAGCCTGCAGTTGCGGCGAACCCTTTAAGCTACGGCAGCCAGAAGGCAGGTGTGATTAACTAAAGAATGTTTTTACAGTACTCTGTAGTTTCAGTATCTTGAGCCGCTATCTGCAACGTCGTCCGGATTTGTTCCTGGCAACAGTGTCCGCAGCGCCTTCTAACCATCTCTATACAGCGGCGTGGTCTAGCACTACGCATATCTAAGATCATCATAGGCTAGCAGCCTTCTCTAACCCCCACCGTATTGCGGCGTAGTCCAACTTCGTGCATCTCTAGAATGTTCTAGTCCCTCCTATATTGCGGCGTAGTTCAGCGCTGCGCATTCCTAGAATCACTGCACCGTAAGTAGACTGATATTAACTTATTCAAGCTTTTGAAGTAAGCATTAATCAAGTTAATCAGAAAGCTTGCTTGCGGGCATGTTATGACTGTCAATACAACTTCTCTACTTGTGTGACTGAAATCCTTATGGACCCGAACAAGCTAGTAAGATACATGATCTCGCGGAAATGGTTGCTGACCTTGCGCTCTTATTGGCTAGCTCTGGCCTACTGGGGTTTCCGGTATACGGGGAGGGTGTAGCTTCTATCTAAGGGAGCGGAAGGTTGATCTTTTGTTCCGCAACACCTCTGCTTGGGAAGCATGCTTCGAACATAAAAGGAGCGTCTTAGCCCTCTCGTTAGTTGAGCCATCATCTGCTTGTTGTCTGCAGCTCCTCATTCGTCCGTCTTTAGTGTCACGCGCCACCTCTAGGCAGCATGCTCCTCCCCAACGTAGCTGCCTTGATAACTCTTCTCACAATCACTACTGCTTCACCTACCCCTCTAGAAAACAAGAGCGCCGATAACGGGACGTTTTCCGCGCTCGTTAAATACACAGTCTATTGCCGCAGCGGAGGTAACACCCTGCCACGCTGCTACGAGGGAGGCTCAGCTGGCTGTCGCTGCACTAGCTACGGTATCTACAACTGCCAGGATGCAGAGTGCAACAAATACTGCAGCTGCGAACAGTATGTGCTCCTCAACCTCCACACGCCCACTATTGCTACTCACGATACTAACGGTGGTTATAGCGACTACCCCCAATGCCCCCACTGCCCTGAGGTCTGAATCACCAAATGGCGGCTTCACGCCGCATGAGGACTTTGACATCTCCATTATCTGGCAAAACTTGGATGTTCGGAGCGACTTTTCCATAATTCGCAAGGAGTCGCGGGGACCGATTGAGAGGATCATGGTCGACTTTGCAAAAGTGCTGGAGAGTGGCCTGTTTGAGGTGGTGAGTGTGAATGCGAGTAAGCATCTTTTCTGTGTAACGGTGTACTGTGAAAAGAACAGAGATGAGGGGGTGCGGGATGAGATTTGGAAAGTACTCTAGGGCTGTGCTAGAATGGCGGGTATGATTGGACTTGTTTTGGGGATTGAGTGAAGGTGTCATGACAGGGCGCTTGGAGATGTCAGGCCAGGCGCTTGGCCCCGTCGGGTAAAGTGTCGCCCCGCCATTGTGCCCTGCAGCCGGCGCATGGGCTCGACGTCAACGATGCAGTTTGTGCAAATGGAATTCAAGCTTTTGTCCCACTCTCTTTGCGTCTGACTCTTTCAACACGCTTCCCGGACGTGAAGCTTCTACCCACCAGACCTGATCATCGCGTACGTCATCGCGCGCCAGCCCGGGCACGGTTGTAGTCATCCAGTCAGGCTGCAGTCATCCAGTCGTTGTAGTCATCCCCGCTGTCTCCACTGTTGCACGCACCTCTTGTTCAACCATGGAGAACAACCTTTCTGCCGCCCGAGCATCTCGGCGCCACCTCGAAGAGCGCCTTCGCAACGACTGGGAGTACCCCGACGTGCCCGCAGTATGGTCCGCCTCAGACGAGGAAGTGCGCGACGCTGCCGATTTCCGCGAGCGCTACTATGGCGAGTCTGAATCTGGCGACTCGGATCACGACGACGAGGAGGGCACCGGCCCATACAGATTCGATAACCCAGAGAGCATCGGCGATGCGGTAGCAAGCACCAGAGAGGCGCGCAGGAGGCGTCGCAAAGAGAGGCTCGAGCGCGAAATGAAAGACAACGAGGGACTGCGCATCTGGGTGCAACGACGAGATGTGTGGACAGGCGCAGCGAGCGTCAAGAAGTACGGCACGAATCGACACACGGGCTACTCGTCCGAAGAGCACGCTGTCACCCCCACGGGCTCCGAGGCGCATTCCATCACCAGCGCCACGCCCGACACGTTTGACCTCGTCCCCGTCGCCGCGCCCCTCCTCGCCGACAACCCAATCCGCGCATCCATCACGCCCAAAGCCTACAAGGACATCTTCCAGAAAATCGTAGTCTCGTCGCGCACGCCCTCGGTCCCCATCAACCTCGCAGACATGACAAAGGCGCTGGTGCAAGGCTGGAAGGACACGGACGAATGGCCTCCGCGGGTTGGACCGCCCGAACCTCTTGCTGGTAAGAAGCGTTCTGTCACTGGCGCTGCATCGAATGGACACCACGGTGGCTTCATTGCGCGACATCCTCATCTAGAGAAGAGCGTCGACGGCATGAAACGCATTCTACATCTCAACGGGCATCATGAGCACGGGAATGGGGATAGCAAGGCTGAGGGTTGAAAGCTGAGGCTGGAAAAGCACTTTGTTTGGATCGAGTCAGTGTTTGTTTAAACAACGCTGATGCATCCCATGACAGGCAATCTCCTCTTCCACCACGCTTCTCACAGCGGGTCCAACGACAGAACCAACCAACAAGCGCCTGCGCCGGTGAACAGTGTGGATTTGCTCCGCGCTTCAGCATTGCAGCGCGTCTCCTCGGCCAATACGAACAGAAGCAACCTATGGTCGACTGGGTAGGACATGGTGCATGTGTATCGTCTCGACGTGGCCTGGACACGATGAGTGTTCGAATTGCAGCTATGCTGGCATTCGCGTCAGCATCCTACCTTGACCGTTGTGGAATGTGTCAAGGAAAGCACTCGGTAGACAATGACGAGCGTCATTGCTTCTTTTGATCTTCATGCTGGAACCCCATACAGATCATTGCCGCAAGGTTGGATTGAGATTTTGAGTTTTGCAGAACTGGAGACGGTTGAGAGACACAGTTGGAGATTTAGTTATCGAAACCCCTCCACACAAATCAAGCTTTTTTTCCCATAGAGATTAACCGGCAGAGTCCCATGTTCATTTTCCTGTTTGCCTTGAACTATCGGGAGCACTAAAAGCGCATTACCCATCCGCGCGGGATCTACAGTCTTCAATTCGGCCGATAGCGTAACATCGGGCTGTCGGCCGTTGCGCGCGAGCGAGCGCCGTCACACCTCGTGCCCGCCTTGCGGGGCTGTTGAAACTCTGCGCGCAGTGCTGAGTGGATCGTAGCCCTGTACAGACGTGCAGGCAGCCATAATCTAACGCCATGGCCATGGTAGTGTCTCCATCTATCTCGCGTTCCTCGGGGGTGTCGGCAGCCGAAACTCGGAGTTAGACCCGCCATGGAAGGTGGGAAAGGTGTTTGTGCAGTACGTAACCGATGGGAGGTGTGAATGATGATCGTCCTTGTAACGAAAGTGCACCGATGCGAGGGTTGGGAATAGACTTGTTCCGGCGAACGCATAAGTGTTTGCGATGGCCGTTCCTTTTCTTCATTCTGCCGCTTGCTTCCTTTGACAACAAAAGATTCTTCGAAAAAAGACTTGGTTCCTTCTCCCCACCAAGAACGACTTACCATAAGTTTATCAAACATGCCGGGCACACTCCAACCCCAGCAGCCTAATGGTGACGCGCCTCAACGCCGCGGAGTCTACCTCCTTACACACCCTCGCTCGGCATCCAATCTCTTCCAAACCATGATGGCCAAGCAGCCCGGCTACCAGAACAGTGGATACAAACTCTTCGATGCTGGTTTTACCACCTTGGTAGAGCTTGACAAGGGCAAGCTGAGTGAGTGGAGCGAGGAAGAGCAGGAGAAGTTGTATGATAGTTTCCGGGTGGCGTTTGGAAAGTTGGAGGATGAATTGGATGATTGTGCGAAGAATGTAAGTTTTCCAGCGTCTTTACTTTTTTTCCAACGGATAGAAAAGAAAAAGAGAAAGGAGAGTTGAAGAAAGAGAGTTGAATCAAAGTCAGAGATTGTGGGGTTCGGAGATATTATGGGATGGGGCCGCCGCCGCCACAACCGTACCGCACGTTTGTCGCGATCCTGCCGTGCGATGGCGTGCTCGGGTCGGCCCATCTATGGATCTGATAATACACTCCAACCCCGACTTGTCTCTACGCAAAGGCTTACTAACCTCAACCACGGCAGGGCAAACAAGCCTTTGTAAAAGAACATACAATCTTCCTCTCCGCCCCAGACAAGATCTTCCAATCCATCTACCCCGACGACGCGCCCCCCTCCCTAACCGTCCACCAACGCAACTCACCCCAAAATGCTGATACCGTTCACACGAACCCGACATCCGTGCCAGACAATCTCCTCCTATCGCTGCAGCCCATTTTCCAAATCCGGCATCCCATGCTAATGTTCCCATCCATGTTGCGCGCCCAACGCGACTGGAAACCCGATGCACGACCTCGTTCTCTGTATTGCAGAGCCACGCTCACGCTCAAGCACTCGCGCGCGCTGTACGATTGGTACGTCAAGCATGGAGCTAAAGCTGGTATCACACCGCGCGTCATTGACGCCGACGATATTATGAATAATCCTGCTGCTGTGAGGCAGTTGTGCGAGCAGACGGGGTTGAGTGCAGATGATGTGCAGTATGAGTGGTAAGCTGACACATTCCACTCCACCCTTCCTCCTTTCTTCCTTCCTTCCATTGGTGGCATGTACGAAATCGTTAGACGGAGGACGGTGGTGTTTATTCAATCTTGCGCTTATACGTTGACTGACTGACTGACTGACTGACTGTGTTTAGGGAAGAGCGCAAAGTGGAAGATCCGCTCATGGCGAGGTTCTTGAGCACAATCAATGCTAGTAAAGGGATCAAGCCTGGGCTGGGCGCCAAGGGGAAGACGCTCGAGGCTGAGAAGAAGAAGTGGGTCGAGGAGTGGGGTGAGGAGGATGCAGAGGATATGGCGAGGTTTGTGAGCGAGGCTCTGCCGGATTATGACTATTTGCATAGTCGAAGGACGGTGGGTGAGGGTGTTGAGGCATAGGCAATGAGAAGAATCAGATCTCATTTGCATCATGATTATATTCCCAACTATATGATGTAGAAGTCTTCTTCTGAATAATCATTAGGGTCGACATTCCTGCACCCTTGCCTTCCGTGCTTGTCATGATGGGATGTCATGTTCATGGTTTTCGATCGGATATCCCCAACCGCTGTCGCATTAGCCGTTATTCCTTTGAATACAACGTCAGTTTTGTGGGGGCTATCTCTGGTAGCCTAGCGCTAGATGCCTAACCCTCTCTGTCAGCAAATCATGAGGCTTTGTAGGTAGGGTTTGCCGCTTACGAGGATTTCCAGAGAAGGGAATTCCAATCAAACATGTAAGCGGCATCACAGCGTGGTAAACCGCGACAGTGGAATTCCACAACAGCTTACAGTCAATCGCGTCTGGATAGGTCGACTGCGGATACCAGAAGCCGTTCAAAAGCAGCTTTGATCATTAGCAAGATTCACGGTCCTGCGACACAAGTTCTGCTTTGAGCCCACCCAGGTATCGGCCCGTGTTAGGCAGTAGATACTACACGATTGTCGACTACATTCACCAGGAGGGTATGCCAACAGTTGTCTACTACCCGGGTGAAGGGATCTCGGCAGTAGTTAACAGTACGCCGTTTGGCAGCCGAGACAGTCAACTTTTGCGTCGTCAAAAGCGAACTGCCTTAAAACAGGCGACAACTTCCAGCGTGCAAAGAGCAGTGGATTCTCCACCAAGATCCGGCGCAGCATTTCCCCTCTCTTCTCTGCACCAGGCCATTTGCCCTGCCACACGCGTACATAAGGCACCATAATTTCCAAGGCCTCCCTAACCCACCTCCCTGCTCTTTCCTCACCAATCCTCCCTTTTTGTACCATCCGCCTCTCCAGCTCCCCCAAGAAATGCTCTCTCTCTTGCGTGTTCTCTACCAACGCAGCCTGCATGACCGCTAGTAGGATATGTGACCGGATTAAACAGTCCAACTCATCCACCTTGATTGCTCCAGCTCCTAGTCCGGCTGTCTCCTCCATCGCAACAGCGGCTAGGAACTCGACCTCCTCCTCACTCCCAATCTCTTCCTGCCACCCCCTCTGTAACGCTTGATCTGCAGTACCTCCATCCGGTATCCCACACCAGAAAAACACCGGCTTGCTAGGTTCTGGTTCGACAACCTTACCCGAAGAAACCTGTGCGAGGTACTGTGCTTCCAAACTGTGTATATCATACAATCCCGACGCGACATTGAGCCCAAAGTGATGGGGCCCCCATGCTTCGCGGTTGTCCTTGCGAGGCGATGGGTCAGATGTAGGGCTTGAAGATGAAGGGATCTTCTCCTCTCCCTCCAGCTGGGTGTTGGTGTTCGTGGACAACGCTTCTTGTTTCGATTCTGCGATGGGAGGTTTGTAGTACTCGTCTAGCCAGAAGCGCGCATGTGGTTCCGAAAAGGGGGGTGTGCTGGGGTAGGCCGCGTGTAGGCGTGTCAAGGCTGTGTCAAGCGTGCGGAGGGCTATTTCAGTAATCGTGTCAAATGGAAGGAACGGTTGCCTGTGGCAAGTCCGCCCCACAGTATAAGCCCAGCGGGGGAGCTTTAGGACGTGTTCGGATACCGGATTATCACGCGGCAGACACAGTGGGGAGGACGAGTCCGGAAGATCCTGGAGGTCGGGCATGCGGTAGAAGCGTGCTGTGTTGGGTTGGGTAAGGAATGCGGTGGAGTAGTAGGAGCGCCAGGCTGTGGGATTCAAGAGGGCATGGTGCGCAGTGTAGAAGGCGTCGAAGTCTGAGAAGGTGAGAGGGTCGTCTCCATTTAGTTGGTCGGTCCAGTGGTAGTAGGCTGCTGCGATCTGGGCGAGATAAAATATATCTAAGGTACTGTTTTATCTTAGTCACACACATGCAGGTGCTGGGTACATCAGTATAAGGGATTCTCATATGAGGATGTAGCTTACCGATTAAAGCGGAGCTCGTCCTCACCAAAAGACCAGCCATGCGCGTGCAGCTTCTCCACAACATCGAATACGCCCTGGCCGTCCCACAGCCCCTCATCGATATCAATGTATGCGATCCGCAAGACATCATCGTGACATGTCACTGGCACGATTCCGCCTTCCACATTAGCCAGAAATTCCTTGGCTTTATCGTCCATTGTAGTGCCTGTCGTACGCAGAATGCAATTGCTGGAGTTGATGTTTTGAAATTTGCCTCTAGGGCTGGGAAAGTAACAATATTGAGTGATAGGCAAAGTCGGCGATCGCGCGGTCTATATACAAGATGACGAAGGGGGCTAGGCCTAGTCGGGCTAAAGATCTACTGAACCTTGGAACCGTGGGTACCCTCACAACTACTTCACTTCTCGCTGCGAGACGCTTATGAACCTTGAACAGGACATTCAGACGAGACTCGCTGGTCCAAAATATATTTGGACGCAAGATGAGAAGAAGAAGAACAAGAAGGGCAAGGGTTCAGAGAAGTCGACTAAGCATCAATTGTTCTTGGATTGGGTTCGCGAGATTAGCAAAACAAGTCTTTTTCTTCTTGTTTTCTAGCACAGCACTTACTACTTACACATTAGCGGCACCGTATACGATAGAAAACTCAAACAGAACGGGAATAACATGCCCTAGTTTATCGCCTACGTTGGCTTCTAAGAAGAGATTCTAGAAAGATTAATAGTATTGTAGACTTCTAGATTCTCTATCTATACCTAGGAAGCCTTAACACGCTTTGTTGTAGTAGGTATAAGTACTTTGCTCTAAAGAGATGTTCAGTTTCTCTCTTCAAGGTAGTGGCGGTTCGGCCCTAAAGGTTCGCTCGTTGACTAAACTGTATCTGTCTTTGGCTCCTGCGAAAGCACGATCTGCGTGCGACTAAAGCTGGCCTTTTTCGAACAATACGCCCAGCTTGCGGCTTGCTCACAGACGCCGACTTCAAAGTCGCATCTAGGATGGTCTTTGTAGCCATTCCGGTGGCCCCTCTGTCTTCCTCCGAGTCCGTGTCTGCTCTCTCCAGCACCACTTCCCCGAGTTTCGCGTTGACCGTCTCCGCAGTAGCCCAAGACGCGTTCATGCAAGTTACCAAGGCATAAGTCTTGATAATCGAATGAAAATAGCCAAAAAGAAGATACGCCGGAAAGTACACAATGTCCGTGGGATACTTACGAAAGTGGGCCGATACCTTGATAAACTTGAACGCGACAATCCAGAGCGTGAGTGCAACCGCGCAAGCAGTAAAGTAGCTCGGCCTTCCACATTGCCGCAACGTGCGATGAAGCAAAAAATACATGCTCAACTCGTGGAGAAGCGATTGTCGAAAAAACCACATAAGCAGACTATACGACATGAACGGATGTCGTACCCACGTCGACTTATTCATCAACTGCACTGGATTATTCCGCCAAGTCGTGCGTGTCCACCTCAACACCTGACCCAAAAACCTGGGCCACTCACCCAATTCCGTCGTCATCAGACTATCCGGCCCAGCCTGCAGTCCGACATCCCAACCATGTTCAACCAGCCAGCGCGTGTGGAACTTGTCGTCGTCTGCGTTGAGCGGCTCTTGCATGAACGGTAAGCGCTCGTTGAGATAGGCCTCGAGGAACAGCGGAGAAGCATAGATGGCGGTGCGGAAGACGCCGAAGCGACCGGGCAAAGTGGATAGACCACGGTCGATGCCGTAGGTACCGCGGTACTCGTACGAGCGACGTACCAGGTAGGCCATGCCCATGAAATTCCAGAATCCGCGCAAAGAACACGCCGGGTGCGCGTGGTGCCTGGCTTCTAAATCTGCGCTCACGGCACCGACGTGCGCATCTTCAAAGGGCGCGAGCACGGAGGCGACGAATGCGCGTGATGCGGGCCAGTATGTGTGGTCGTCTTGCAGTATTACGAGACGTGACGAGACTTGTTTGAGGGCTTGGGCGGTTTGTTCGCGACGCGAGGCTTTGATGCGATGAGAGACGATGATGCGCTGGCCATCTTCTGAGAACAAGGCTCTGAATGCATTGGATTGTTCTGCGGCTTCTATTCCTGCAGTGGAGATGATGAGTTTGGGGATGATTTGGGAGAGGATCGTGCGGATGACGTGGTGGAGTGTCGGGGACATGAGGTCCGTTGTGGGGATGATGACTGTGACATCGGTGGTGTGGTAGGTGGGCGATAGAGGTATGGGTACAGGCCGGTATCTATATGTGCCGTACAGACTAGTGACAACTCGGATGTATCGTAGTAGGAAGAGGAAGAGGAAGGACAGTGGATAGAAGTTTTGTTGGAAGAGGCGATAGATTGGCCACCAGAAGAAATGATCGTTAGAGGGTATCAGCGATGCAGCTAGATTACGGATGATTTGTGGTGTTAGTGTGATGAGAACTTTTCCTGCTAGGAAGAACGTTACGGACGACATTTCAAGATAGTGCTGAAAGAACTTGTCCAGATCGAGTAAGCAATGACAATGTATTGAACGATGTTATACAGTTCCTTGCTCGCATTAAGATGGGCTTATGTACTGCAAGAAACCATGGAATAGATAGTCCCTGTGAACAACTAAAACGTGAGAAAAATCGCGTGACATGCGCGTCTGCTGGATAGACTGCTACAAAGTGAAGGGACAGGAGTGTTCGAGCATGGAGCAATGATGTTTGGTATCAAGGACGTGATATATAGCGCCCTTGGAAGCGACAAGCGTGACCTTCGCACATGGTGAGGCTTCTACATCTGCTCGTATTGCTTCAATAATAGATGGCTTAGCACCAATACGCTTCTCTTCGACTCTCTTCTAAAGCTCTTGTCAATCTCCTCTGCTCTTCTCGCTCTTCTTCTTCCTGATCCGCAAGACTAATCTGTAACGCGAATTCTAGTTCCAGATCCGCCTTTTGATCAGCTTTGTACAGCGGTGATTGATAGTGGTCGTTCATAGGGGGATGTTGAGTGGCTGTATGATCTGGCTGAGCGTGAGTGGGGATGGTGTTGTTGAAAGCAAAAGTAGTATGAGTGGTCCGTGGTTGGGCGGCTGCGGTATGAGGCGACAAGTAGACGTTGTCGGCTGAATAGAACTCGTAAGTACTCGAGGGAACAGCGGTACTAGTGAAGTCTGCTGGAATGGCCGCAGGTGCTAGAGGTGACTGCAATGTGTGTGTGGGATGTGTTGGTTGCCACTGGGGGCTTAGTGGAATAGTAGCAGGTGCCAGTGGTGGCTGCGATGTGTGTGTAGGGTGTATTGATTGGGACCAAGGATTTGTCGGTTGCCACTGAGAATTTATTGGTTGCCACTGGGGATTACTCATTGGCAAAGGCGTTGGGTTCGCTGGTGGCATACTCATCTTTGGGATCGAGCTGGGTAAGGAAGAGAGCAGATCTGTGTCGGGAATTGTGTATGGTATGGCATAGCCTCCGTTGTGTTGAGCTGTTTCTCGAGGCATGGAAGGTGGACTGGCCATGTTGCGTTGTCCTTGTGGCTGTTCAGGTGGGGACTTTGTGCCAAAGCTCCTACGATGCTGTGGCGAATTGGGCAATATTTGTTGTTCATGTTCCTGGGTGAGAGGAGACTTATCACGCCGTATGCCCTTAGATGAACCAATCCAATGAGATCGCCGTTCCTCGCCGCGCAGACTCAGGCTTGATAATTTCTCTTTCAAACTCAAATCTCTGGAGACCTTCTCGGGCGTAGCTCGAGACAGAACGTCATCTGATTTGCGCCGATCTTCTTCGTTCAAGACATGCGGTTGTGTACTGAGATTCTGCTCCGAGGTGCTGCCTGGCGCTCCGGGTCTTAGCAACGCCGTTCCCTTCCCACTCAACACGTTGATTAATGGGATGCCTGGAAGGCTCACAGGTTTCGATATGCTATCCTTGGGCGATCCTTCTACCTCGTTGTCTACTTCAACGCGGTCAATCTCCCTGAAGAAATCGCGAGGGAAGCCGCTGATCGAATAGCCTTTGGTCCGACCTGTTGAAGTGTGGAGATGGAGTCTGATGTCCGCATCTCTCCCAGATGTTGCTACTGTCAGCTCAACCTCTTGAACGTCAAGTGCACCATGGCTGGCCATTCTCTCAATGCGCGAGGAGTCCAAATTGATCTTGTCTCTTCCATGCTGTTGATTGCCATCCCAGGTATCAAAGTACGGCTGGAAGTCTGCTCTCTGATGCTTTTTGAAGAACAACCCCATCTCCTTTGCCCAGTCTGATGATTCTTCGAAGCGACATTGTAGCCTACCTTTCACTTTGGCAGCTCTCTGAGACATATCTCTTGTCGCATGCGTTCGTTCAAAATAGAAGCTGCTAGCGACCAAGCGGAAGACAACACCCTCGAGATCAGCCATGGCCTCAGGCCCTTTGAGATATCGGGAAACATCTAATTGGAGTCGATCAACCTCGTTTACGTCGTCCAGCCGTGGCGGTGTTCGACCAATATCTGGATTTATGCGAACGTAACGGCGAGAATCTTCACTATGAGCAGTGCTTCGCTCCATCCCGTCCAAGAACTGTTCCCACTGACGCTCGCAGTGTATCGAGTCTCCTAACTTGTTGATCGCTGCCTTTCCATACTGGAACATACCCGCAAGGTGTTTAACCTTACTGGTCGCCTTTATCTTGGCCTTGCCATGACTGAGAGATGATACGATATTGCGCTGCATGTCGAATCTCTCAGAGCGGAAATCCTCTACCATAGCCTGTTGATGCTGCGATGTGCCGATAGATAGCAATAGATCCGGGTGATTATCTTGCACATCTGGCCATAGTAGTTGCCGTTCTCGATTTCCCACCTTTACTGGGTTGTTATTGTAGAATGCTCCATCAAGATAGGTCTCTCCGGTGAACGGATGAACGAATGGCTTGAAGAATGGGGTAGCGGCAGCAGTCGCTGCTCCAGCATGCCATGTTCTCATCTCAGCATCCGGCTCACTAGGTCTCAGGAACTCGTAACTCTGCTTGTCGTCTTTAGGACTTTTCCGGCAGTAATTCGCGATTACAATGCCTCTGGTGGCCACTTCGTCTGTCGTTGTCACAGCTACCCGAGCTACGTTGTCTGAGCTCTCGGCCCCGCCAAACAGATACCCATCTCCAAGTGACTCAAGCAAAGCTTCGTGGAACGGGGTAGTCTTCCAGGTGCTGCCGTGACTAGCCGTAGCGATGTATTGAAGAGGGGCGATGCCATGGAATTCCCGTGGCGAGAACGCTTTCTTGACGAGACGCTTGAATTCTTCAATGCATTTGTTGACAGGCCATTGCTTTACAGCAAGAGCCAGTGCGATGATTCCACCGGTACTTGTTCCAACAATGAGATCGAAGAAAGCACTGATTGGAATATTGACGCCTAGCTTTTGTTGGATCTGGCAGAGAACCTCAAGCTCGGCGATTCCACGGATACCTCCCCCATCGAGTGACAGAATACGAACACCTGCAAAATCAGGCTTCATCCGAATCCTCCACGGGTATCTCCAATTGCAATCGTCGATATGCAAGGGACATTCTTTCATCTCCATCGTGCAATTTCGGACTGTGCCAAATGCTTTGACACATTCAGTGCAGAGGACATGACCACATCGAAGGACATGTTCAGGAGGCCGCATGAGACAGCATAGACACGTAGCGTGACTATTGAACTTTGACGCGCCACCGACGGCACGGTAGAAACTCGATATGTTGCGGGCATGCAGTCTTCGAATAGGACCCAAGGGACCAGTCTCCTCTGAGCTATCTTCCTTACGCTCTAACTCCTCTTGCACATCATGCAATCTGGTCTTGAGAGAGTTTAGCCATACGTTCTTGTAATCTTCCGCAGTGAAGCTGGACATGTAGTGACCATGTGTTACCTTGCCTCGATTACCAGTTTGGTGACCCTTTTCATGACTCTTGCTTACGTTGACACATCGTCCTCTCTTAGCGTGAGAGAATTCGCAAGGCCAATGTGAGGAGCAAAACTCAACCAGAGCATCTTCGAAGTTTGGCTGATAGTCTGCGAACAGGTCGTGTGGTTTCCCCTTTCTGTAAGTTGCGCAGTCATAGAGGAAGCAAGAAGCCACCATGAAACTCAAGTTCTCGAATATCCATTCTCCTGTTCTATTTGGATACTGCCGCTGCATCACGATAGCAACGCGGAGAATGTGGCCACCCAGGTTCTGAGGTATCGGATTCCGAATCAAGGAATAACTCTTGAAGTCAAATGGATGGTTTAGGTCTTTCGAGAAATGTGTGAACGCTTTCTGGATATAAAAGCTCAGGTCCTCGGCTGATGATAGAAGGCCAACTTTCTGCTTGTTCAGATACGATGCTTTACATGTTTCCACAATAGTGTCGTGCAGTTGTGATACTTGTTTCGAGAGACGAGGCATATCCTTGGCTTCCGGGAGACGCACTACTTGGAACGAAGCGTAGTAGCAGTGAAGAAGATCGCGAAGACTTCTGATGGGCCTGTTTCTTTTCCTCCATTTCTCTACAAGCTTTGTGACTTGAGCGCTACTGTATGCTGGATTTATCAAGTGGTCATTATTCTCGAGCAGGTTATTCGTTGCATCTCGACCCATCCACAGGTTGGATGGGATGCGTGTGTTTGAGAAGTTGAGTGCGATGATGGCGTGAGGAAGTGTACCTTGATTAGTACTAGCTTCGAGCGAGGACGACGCCCAGTCGAGCAGCTTTGGAAGCACGTTATGCTCGAACGTCCTAAGCCGTCAGCCATAGCCTCTGATCCACTGGCTTGGGGCAAACTTACTTCGGGTTGTTCAGCACGAAAACGACGACATCGGAAAACGTATAGAGAAGGCGAGGATAGAGCTGAGTAACAGCATATTGACGAGTTCGTGTCTGGTCTGACGTTGCCCATTCTAGTGAACGTGCTCGCAGACCCAGTTTCCGAGAAGTATCTGTCTTCGTCTGTCTCCGGGAATGAGCCCCGATTGGAATGCGCTCTCCTGCATTAAGGCCTTCGCAGTCCGCGTAGAATATTGGTCTCTCTTCTTCCCAAGTAGCAGGATCAACGTATAGATGAACATCTGCAGAGGTGGGTGTGGAATCGTGGAGCGGGCTCCCTGGGACTGGTGCTTTAAACATGGACTTGTTGGCTTCGTATTTCGCCTGGTCATACTCGATCAACATCTTGATCAGAGTACTCTTTCCCGCGCTAGTCTCGCCAATAAAGGACACCAGTTGTGGATACCTAATCTGGTCTGGGTTTGGCGAGTTCTTTATCAGTTGCTTGAAGGTGTCAAAGTCCTGCAAAAAGGGCCCATCGTCCTGGAATCTATCGATTCCTAGAAGGTCGTCAGCCTATTCATCTTGTCTTCCGTTCACGGTGGCTGAGATCGGTAAATGAATATCATGTTACGCAATCTTCAGTGATTTTCGATACTCACCAAACCATGTTGTGTTCCTGTCTTGGCTATGGAGTTCTTCGAGATCCAACTCTGTTGTTGGCATCATTAAGATCTTCTCGAGGCGTGCGCATTGTAAGTACTCTTGGTACTTCAGCTGCCTGTGCTCTGAGGATACATGTGTAGGTTGGAGTGGCCAGCATCTGTCGCACAAGCAGCTCTTGCAGTCCGAACAAAAGAACAATTGTCTTTGCCGATCGTTTCTATCGTCACATCGTGGATCCATGCAAACGCCTTGCTGGGAGATTGTGGAAGCCATGTTAGAAATAACAAGAAACTGGGGTGCAGGAATTAAGCACACAAAGCTGGGGCAGCGCGCACGTACTAGCGCTACTCACTCAGCTTACAGTAAGAAGAGAGGGCCACGAAATAACGAGGGGCAAAGAAGTGAAAGGAGGGCGGCAGGTTCAAATACCGTGGCTCCCCAACCGTCAAGTGGTGGCGTAAAGCCAAAGTGATTTTGGGGGCCAATAGACCACTCGAGTCTCGCGTCCGAGATATGCTTTCGGAGCCTTGTCGCTTGAAGGCCGTGATGTGTGTGTACGGTACCGTGATAACAGACTGGAAATTTAGAGGCTGCGCCTCTGGACCAGGTGAACACATGATTACATGCCTTTACGTAGCGCTGTAGCAGCTGTCCTGGTAGTATTGACTGATCATGGCATTCAAGAAGAAGTTACGACAGCCTAAGGCAGAAGTCGACCAGGCTGCGGCTGAACATCCACGCTGAGAAAGTAAGTCAGCTGTGGCTGACAATGGCTTATTAGGCGAAAGGCGCAGCTCACGCAAAGTTAATGCGCAGCCTTCAGGTAGTAGAAGCCTACTAACGAGGCTGAACTCATGGCTGTTCTGCCAAGTATCGTGGCAGCCATCGCTTGGTGCATAGGCCTAGAATGAGAGATAGTAGTAGTGGTAGTGGTCGTGCACGTGAGCGGCTCCCACCCGCAATAAAGCACGGGCTGTAAGCTGGGTCCGTCCAGCCCGTGGCTCGAGACTCAAGGCTGCCAGACGACGAAGTAGCGAGCTAGGCAGGAATTTCAGAGTAACGACTGTATAACGTATGCGACAAGCGGTTTTGTATAAAGCCGAGAGTTTCTAGAGATGAGGAACACGATGAGGCAGCTGCGCTGCCGTCCACGAATGGGCAACGAAAAAAGCGGCACCTCGCTACCTTGCTACTACCACGAATGGCTTGAAACGATCGGCTGGGAGCCGAGGCGAGCCACGAAAGGTTTTGAACAACGAATTGCTGGAGGTACCCTCCAGCAACAGTCCACGATATCTCCAATGGGCGGGCAACGCCCACTAAAGCCGAGAGTCTTTCTGCCGGAATTAGGCTGCCAGCTTCAAAGTACTGCCACTCGCTACCGCCTTACACTCCGATAAAGCGGGGTATCTTTCTTTCTGCGCTTATCTCTGGTTTGAGGTATTCATTAAGCATTAATCTCCGATATCAAGCATCAAATTCGGCAATCAAGCAAAAATGGCTGTTATATAGAACATCAACTCTCCAGTATCGATATTGGCCATCGACCTCTGGTACAGTGCATCGGCTCTCATATCAAGCCTCCGTCTCTGGTATCGAGTATTCTCAAGGATGAATCCTACTCCAGTGCTCAAGCTAGCGCTTGTCGATCGATGTCAACTATATGTTGAATATCAGACCCCGCTAGAAGGATTGAGCGCATACCTCTTACCTTTAGACACCAAGATCGGCAACCACGAAGGAAGCTTCCAACCTGGTGGACACGGTTTTTCGTTCAGTGCTCGAAACATCGTTCTCGAGCAGAACATTCTTTGCGCTGAGCTGAAGACTAGTGGAGGGGACTGGTGGTACGATCAGCTCGAGGTGGTCGTTAATGTTTCAACGGATCGTACGCCAGTGAGCTTCTCGGTCGAATTCCGCCGATATGATCCCGATCGCCTGCAAGGATGCTACAATATCAGACTTATAGGTCAAGAACTCCTCGCAGCCCAGTATCATGGACCGAATGAAAAAGCCGAGGACATATATATTGACCTAAAGCATTACCTCGGAGTTAAAAATGGTGCTTTCGACAGGAATAAGCGAAGCTTCTCAAGCAGTGTCCAGAACGCTCATTTGATTGGCACCACTCTGTGCGCGACTCACAATGACGGCTACCCAATTTCGATCTCATTGTCTAGGGTGCTACGGTTGAAGAATGGGTCATTCTCGCCCCTCAGAGTAACGAAGAACGAGGATCTGGACTATGAAGTCCTGACGGATTTGTCAAATAGGAGATGGCTACCGAACTCGGGTCCTCCTGTACTAATCAACTATAAACAAAAGCGTGCATGGTATCTCATTGCAAATTGCCTCAATTCACGTGGTTCATATCAGGAATCGACTATCAGACTCCATGATATCATTGGACCAGGCGATGATGAGATGTTCACCTTTTTCTCTGAGAAGCCAATACCCGAACATGCACGCGAAACAAGATTTGAGAACGGAATCTTAATTGCTAGCTTCGATGCGGGTGATGACAAATGGATTCAGAGATCATTTGATTTGGCCGAATTGGTGACTAATGAAGGAGGCGCATTAGCTAAGTAGGTGAACTTCTCGTTTGAACAGAATCCACCGTTTTGGCACACAAGCTTGTTAGGTAACATAGCTGACCTAGTGTTGCAGACGCAGATTCGGCTCAGAATGCCCTCGGTGTAGCAACTTGTTCTATTCAGGCGCACTCTATACCCCTTCCTCGGGATCGAGTATACAACTTAACGGGCCAGCAGTGTCAAAGACTCGTCATTGTACGTTTTGCAAATTGGTCAACAAAGCTATCAAGGAGTACGCACCTGCTTGTGATTGGCACGAAACGTGGGTACTAGCTCGCGATCGCTGGGAAAACCGCGGCACTCTAAGAACTATTGCAAAGAGGGAGGTGCTGCTTGTAATTCGAGCTTATGGAATGAGAACTAGCACGAGAAGAATGTTGTACGATCGGCTAGTACATGGAAAGCAAAACGTGCCAAAATGCGTCGACATAAATTGCACGATAATGCTTCAAGTTGGACACCATGAAAAAGCAAATGAGAAAGGGGCGGCAAAAGCCCGTGCTCCAAAACGTTATCGAACTATCCCACGGAATACGCATGATCTTTGTTGGCTGGATCCAGGTCTAAGATGGTCGACGATTCGGAGCTGGATCAAACTCTGTCAAACAGAACACCAAGATTGCTTAACTCCGGCCTCGCCTCAGCTTCCATCACGGTATCTAGACATCGGAGTGAGCGATTCGGATCCCGTGAGACTAGTCATTTCCAATGGGGAACATGGAGAGTACGCGTGCTTAAGTCATTGTTGGGGTGGTTCACATCCCTGCACTTTGACAGAAGATACCAGAGCAGAATATACCAAGAAAATTCGCAAATGCGATCTCACACCAGTGTTCCTCGACGCAATAAAGGTCTGCAAGAAGCTTGGCTTGAGAAGACTCTGGATTGATTCGCTCTGCATACAGCAAGACAGCAAAGAGGACTGGCGTTATGAGTCGCAGAGGATGGGGCCATACTATCGCAATTGCACCGTATGCATCACAGCTACAAGCTCTGCCAATTCGGAGAAGAGTTTCGAGATTGCAGAAAGACCTTCGGTGGTGAGCTCATCTAGCACGGATCCCGAAAGTGGGCCTTTCAGTCTCCTTGCTTACCCTTTCGACTTGATGGAGGAAAAGCCTCATTTTGGCCACTCGAATAGTCTGGAAACTGCCCTTGAAAGCTTTCCTCTCCTTACCCGTGCATGGGTCTTACAAGAGCGTTGGCTATCCCCGCGAGTACTTCACTTTTGCGGTTCTGAAGTCGTGTTTGAATGTGCTCAGTCAACGACTTGCGAGTGTGGTCAAGCAAGACAATCCTTCGTGGATATGATAAAACCCTCAACGGATGTACGATACACAACAACATCACATGAGGGACTAATAGCCAAGCGTGCACAGCTTGCAGCTATCGGGTGGGACTACTTCGTTACGACATACAGCGCTTTGAGAATTACGTACAGCACGGATCGCTTGATTGCTATATCTGGTCTGGCATCTACGTTGTACGATACGAGATACAACCCCAATGAAGAGGGTGAGCATGGAAGCCTGCCGCTGTATCTTGCTGGACTATGGCGGATGGACCTCACCAGAGATATGTCATGGTTTGTGGGATCGACTATGATCTTTAGAAAAGACAACAACTCCAGAGCTGAAGCAATAGGGACAGAGAGGGTGCGCAAGTCCAAGTCTACAACTTACGTTGCACCTTCTTGGTCGTGGGCTTCGATATCGGATCCCATACGATATCTCCACCTGGATAATCCAGATCCGCAATTCATGCTCCTAGATGCGCGAATCAACTTGGCCACTGGAAACATATATGGACCCGTAAATGAGGGCTGTTACCTCTATTTGAGAGGGAAGATCACGACGAGTTCCTGGGAATTGACAAGTGATGCTCAAAACATGTCGGTTTATCGTCTTAAAGACATTGTTGGCACTCAGATACTTGGCGAGACAGACCGGCTGGGCGTGAACTTTTCTCCGGATTATGCAATCGCTAAGCCCGGTCCAAATCAGCTACATCCAGCAGCGATGCTTTACGTGTTTCCATTGGTAAAAATCGGGGTGTCCTTCGCCGTAACCTTTGGAAAACAGGAGCCCGAGCTGATCAAAGAGTCGAGAAGTACATTATGTCTGGTCCTAAAGGCAGTTGACACACAGTTTGAAAAGGCACGTGTGTATGAGCGAATTGGCTTCACCGAATTCACGAATTTCCAATCCGGAATCAGGAATGTCGACCCTAATGATTATTCAGATGAAGACTTCTATATCATATAGTTGGGTATATAATCATGATTGAGATAAAAATCTGATTCTTGTCATTATGAAATTGGATCTACCCTTCTCTTCGTGGTTCTCCGTCTCTATGTGAATAGTTCACTAGGCATCACAGGGGAGAAAGCGAGTGTGTAGAATAGCAATATGCTCAACAAGGAACCAAGTCTTCTATAGTTTGGAAACCGATAGCATAGTAGGTAAGTATCAAGGAAGCAGATTTCGTGCTATTAACATGATGTAAAGGACAACCAATAACGACAAGCAGTTTTCTCATACGGTAATCCACTCGTAGTTCTGCAGCTTCGAATCATCAGGCTTGTCTTCCGGTAGCAATTTGTAAGCCCTGGTCTTCCCGATAGTCCAGGCAAGCGTGTCGCGCACTTTAATCCCCCAGGCAGTCTGCGGGAAAGCAAGCTGTGGAAAGCCAGGCGGCAGACTTTCATGCTTTCCTTGGATCTTACGGAATTTCTCTTCCCAGAGCTTGAGCGCTGCTGGGATGCCATCGCTATTCTCTATCTTGCTGAGCTCGCCTGCTAAGTGGTATGCACCCTCGACCGCGAGAGTGACTCCCACTCCGAATGTTGCGTGGGCTGCATCACCGAGGAGTACCGCACGGTTGTTCGTCCATGTGGGGAGCTTGACATACGCTGCACGGCTCATGTAGAAATCGTCGCATCCATCCATACCAGCCAGGATTCTCTTTGCCTGCCATCCTGCATCGTGGAAGGTTGCGTGTAGGAATTCCTTCTGCTTTTGGGGCCCTCCATCCATCGCTGCTTCGGCAAGCGGATCACGATGTCCATGTGCTGGTGTCGTAACGCACATGTAGCATCCAGTGGTCTTTCCATTGCGGTGCGGTCGTGTCATGAGGCCTAAGCCTTTCGGTGCGTTGTACCAGTACCAGTGCTTCGTGTCTGATTCTTCACGAGGAATGCTGAAGTACGCAATGTACTGGCCGATGAAGTTGTAGCTGTCCTTCCGCGTTTCTTCGTCCAAGATAAGAGACCGTATCCGTGAGGTTGAGCCATCTGCACCAACAATGAAGTCGAAGCTATCTTTTGCTCCACTATTGAAGGTAACATCGACTTTCTTATTCGTTTGTTGCACGGCTGTGACGTAGTCTCCGTACACATAATTAACGTTCTCCATGCTCTTGGACGCATCCACGAATAAACTACATAGGTCGGCTCGCAGAATCTCATACTCGGATGTGAAGCGGTTGTCGCCTTTTCCGAACTCGGCGATAATCTTATTGGAAGCGTTGACAAGGCGAGTGCCGTCCTCTGTGGTGTTGCGTGCGAGCACACTTGGCAACAAGCCCATCTTCTCAACGATAGAGATGGCTGCGCCGCGGATCTCGATAGACTGTCCAGTGGGCCGAGGAGATGGTGATCGTTCTACAACCGTGATGGATGCATTGAGGCGGGTCCTAGCTAACCAATACGCAAGATTGGATCCTGCGATGCCAGCGCCGTTGATGAGGACTTTAAGCTGAGGAGTTTTGGAAAGAGACATTGTTCGTATGAAGTGTCTAGAGATAAGTGGATAAGTGGTTGCAGCATATTGATGGAAGCGACAGTGCTCAGTTATATACCTTGAGGTTGCGACGTTGTCGCATTCAAGGCGTCCCTATCACGGCTTGGTGGGCTGGAGAGGACGCCTAACCCGAGCTCAATCTGGCCCGAGATGCGTTCAACCCGAGCACGATGACACGCGCACTGCAACGAGGCTTACCTGGCCTGAGAAGTCTATCGCGATTAAGCAATCGTTAGCGCAGCGCAGCGCCATGTCGTGCGATAGAGTATTGATGACCCAATAGCGTTGAAGAAGGAGTGCCGCCTGGAAAGTGGCGGGTGGTTGGATCGGTGGTTTTTCGCCGGGCCAGCTCGTTTCTTCCCCACGTATTTCGAGGTTGGCATGTACGGACGTCCGTAGCTCCCGAAATGTCCGGAGTTTGTGACAATGATGCAATAAAGTCATAAAGGCTTTCGCGATAGCCGTTTCGTGTTCCTTTTGCAATACCTGGCTTTCTCTCAAGCTTCTTCACACCACCGTACTCCAATCCGCTCTCCACAATGGCGCGAATTCTCATAACAGGCTCTTCTGACGGTCTCGGTTTGGCCGCTGCTAAAAAGCTTGTTGCAAATGGACATTCCGTTGGTTTGTGCTACCCTGACCCTGCCCATTGTTGGCTTGCTGACGCGACCAAGTCCTCCATGCGCGCAACGCTCAACGCGCTGAAGACGCCGAATCCGCATGCCCTGGCGCTGAGAAGGTTGTAACGGGCGACCTGTCAAGCCTCTCCGAGACCAAGAGCATGGCAGAGGAAGTGAACAAGCTCGGCGCATTTGACTGTGTGATTCACAACGCTGGGTTGTATCAGGGCGATTACCGCAAGACGAGCGAGGGCATTCCTGCACTTGCAGCTGTCAACACGATTGCGCCGTATGTGCTCACCGCGTTGATCAACCGCCCGAAGCGCTTGGTATTCATGTCTTCCGAGATGCATCAGATGGGCTCTCCTAGTCTAGACGACATCCTTTGGACGAAGCGCGGCGAGAGCGAGTACACCGCAAACGCGGCCTACTGCGCGAGCAAGCTACACAACGTCCTGTTCGCCAAAGCTTTCGCGCGCAGGTGGCCCGATGTGAAGAGCAATGCTCTAGACCCAGGCTGGGTGGCTACCAAAATGGGCGGCAGCTCAGCATCCGGAGATCTCAATGCGGCTGTCGAGAGCTACGTTATGCTTGCGGAAGGAGAGGAAGAGAAGGCTAAGAAGACTGGAAGCTATTTCCATCCGAGTAAGCGAGAGGGAACCCCCCACAAGGCAACTTTAGATGAGAAGAACCAGGATAGGCTACTCGAGATCTGCGCTGAGTTCTCTGGAGTGAACCTCCCGTGAAACTTACCACTAAACATCGAGGAAACAACTGTCCTGCAATTCCGTATGGGTATGCGACGGATCGGCTAGACCTACGCTTCCCTTGACAGCAGGGGAATGATAGGGAAGCTGTTCTTGGCACCTTCGGTAGGATGTCGATATAGTGCTCTGGATCAGGAAGTAACAATGAATATCGGATACGTACCTCTTGATAAGATGCAGGTTATGATTCTTACCTCCTGCATATTGAACTACGCGATCATCAGCCTATGTAGATATGTTAGTTTGCAGTCCAAACGCTAAGATGCTCGGTATGATAGACGCCGTAAAAGCGCTACGCGACCCTGTTAACGCTCAGGTTTCTTGAACGCACGCGGAAACTTAACACCTTTCATTACGGAGTAACATTTGATTGATTTGGCGAGAGTTCGGACAACAGTACGCGTGCCTAGGGTGGGCGGGCGATTATGCATAGGTCTGGTTGGTCCAGAGAACGAAAGTCATAGCGAGTTTGTCAGTGAAACTAACGACTGGGAAGAACAAATTACGCTCCAGGATGTAAGCGGATTATGAGGTAGCGAAGACTGGGTGGGATCGGGACATTAAGATCTAGCTGCCCCACTTTCATCATTTTGCAATGGCACAACTCTCGAGGTCGCAAAGCGACATTTCTCAGCAGGCCACAGGATTGCAGCAAATCATGAGGCCTTGAAAAGCTGCTATCGTACCTTGTGAAGGTGCGGTCCGACCCTGTAAGACGAACCGAACCATCGGGTGCTGACGCGGGGTATATAGCGACTATCGCGTGCTAGTGGTGGTACTAAGCTGTGGGAAAGGGAGGGCTGGTCGATTTTGTGTTGTAGTCAAAAAGTTGAGCAGTCTAGTTGCATCGCGAGTAGCAGTCGCATAGCCCTGGGGGCAGTAGTATTACTCGCGTGAGCGTGAAGTTTGCCTGGTCGTTAGGTAATACTAGGTACATGGTACTCGTTCAGCCGGGTGAGCCGTTACTTTCATGCGATTGCATCACGCTGTACAACACCCCGCGGTTTGTAAAGTGCGTCAGCCGCAAGTGGAGAACTTTGCCTAGATGGCCTGGGTTGGAACGTGATAGACTTCTCACGTAGCGTAGTTATGCTCACCGTACGCCACGAGATAGCCACTCCTCTACATGGGTATCGATGAGTTCGCGATCTCTCTCATCCAACCAGGGAGTCTGGTGTTGAACCACGCAGCCTGCGACTGGAGACACGCTCGATGCGCGTTTCATTGCGGACATTGACCGACGCTGATGTTCTGTGCAAGAGCTGGGATGATTGCAGGTAAGGCAGGTGGTAAGTCGTGCGGGCAGCAGCAACTGGCGCCAGCGCGCATCGGCAATGAAGCTAGCTGAGGACCCTGTGGAGATCTGCGTCAACAGCAAGGAGGAAATTCCAGCTCTGGTCATGCGATTCCAGGTGTGCGTCGTCGCACGCACCATCGATTGCAGACTCCGCCTGCAGGTGCGCAACTAGCAGACATGTGTTAGGTTGGGTGCATGAGCTGAACATCGTGGCTGCATTAATTAGCGGAGCTGAGGAAAATGGGCGTTGACGCGCCCGCTTGGCGATAGACGCCGCCCGCAGCCTGGATCACAAACAAGACCTGGGGATGATCGCGTCTCCCTTGCACTATTGATGAAGCGAGCACACCAGTAAAACGAGTTCCTCTGAACTGTCTTCTTCCTTTGGGCTTCTTTTCTTGCTCCATCTTCCAAATATACCTATGGCACACCAGTTCGTTCTTGGCAGACCTTCAGCGGAGCATCTTGTCGAAGAATTGACCACCTACGTATCACATGCTTGAAACCTTACGAGATCCTTCTCTATGAACGGCCAAGACACAAAGTATGTGGTGCATGGTGCGGTCATTACTGTTTTCAACTAACATCCGCTCTAGTGCTTTGGTGCCTAAAGCTCTTGAGCCACCGATATCGACTGCTGGCCTTTCAACAATCAAAGCTCTCGACTCGAGCAGCGATGGAGCATCGAAGTTCGCAACGGCTTTCCGAGAGGAAATATCATCGAATCACAAAGAGTCATTCGATCGTCTGGCCCTTGAGCTGAAAACACCTAGACTCAACAAAGTTCACCATCACTTATGGCTCGCAGGCCGCCCAACGGCTGCACGACCTTTGCACCGGCAAAAGCTGCTAGGACGTAGTATCCTCGTAACAGAGAGCCCCGACGAACATCTCGTGTGGTTCGAAGACTGTATCTTCATCAAGCCGTTGCCCGGTTTCCTTCTAGACTGGGACTCGTGGAACAACCACCTGTGTCCGGACCGAGAATTGTATGAAGCTGCATGCGGCCTTCTGCTGTCATATGCATGGCTCGTACGGCATAAAAGCGACCTCAACGCTGCAAAAGAAGCGGGACTGCTAGCAAAAGAGATAGAGTGGCTCGACTGGGTCGAATTCATCGATGCTTTTCTGACCAAGATCGATTGCGAAACTCTAAGGGGTGTCAACAAACGATACGAATATGGTGAGCTACGTTTAAGCCGTCTCAACGCCATATATAGACTTCTTCCGCCCACATATTCTTTTCGAAACTTCACTCGAGGTTTTCAAAGCCGATCGACATGGTATCAAGCTTTCTTTAACCGTCATTTCAAGTGGATGCTAGCTGTATTTGCTGTTATTTCAGTCATTTTATCAGCATTGCAGGTCGGGCTTGGTACGACAGAGCTGCAAGGCAACAGAGCTTTCGAGCGTTTCTCATACGGGTTCGCTGTAACATCCTTGGTCGCTGTAGCGGTAGCACTGGCTGCTGTTACCTTTGTATGGCTTGTTTTATTCGTGTATCACTTGTCGATGACACGGAGGAATGATAGAGCAGTACGGCATGAAAGATTAGTCGCTAGGCCTGCTTGAATGACATCTCGAAGTAGTGTCGTGCTTCATAGATAAGCCACACACATTGCTAAAACATGACTTGAGTCACGACGATCTAGAACAATCTAGCACTAAGCGTGACTATGAACTACAGCCACTCGGTTGTAACCTGCATAAGCTCGATCTCCGCGTAACCTAATTTGTGTCCCCGCATGGAGCTAAACATGAGCTGAAAATAAGCAAGAGCTTAATTTGCATTGAGCTAAGCTAAGCTGAACTGGTTCGTGTATATCTTTCCAGCATAAGATGAACTTACGTCTTTCCTAGCGAGCTGAACATCTCAGAACATCTGACGATAATCAACACTATACATCACACAACGTACGCCTCGATGGTCTCTAGAAAGAAGGGGCCTGTATTTCGGGTCACAGGACTCTCAGTATCACAGTGCGACGATGAACTGAGAACAACACTCGAGGCTACTATCAAGCAAGAACTCTTGCCTGATGAGAAGCCAACGCTTGGCTTTAGCACGACTATCGTACCATCTTGCTACGACAATGAAAACAAGAGGGTTGCCCTGGTGAACTTTCATGACAAGGTTCCTGTATTTCTGCTCGAGCTGGTGACGAACCCTTCAGAAATCTGGCAAATCGAGATGGGCGACACGGACATCACCTTCGACTGTCACTTCAGGGGGATGACGCAACTGTATACACCAAAGCTCGAAACGCCAGTCACCGCAGAGTATGTAGCAGCTCGGAACCACCGCTATTCTTCCTTGAATCATACCGCTAAGATATTGCATCTAGTATAGTCGCTATCACCGGCCTCGATGGCCATGCATACGGTTCATGGAGGGGAAAGGGGAACCTCGGGCGTATGTGGCTTCGTGACTTCCTTTCTAGGGACTTACCTTGCTGCCGAACTATGATCTATGGCTACAATTCAAAATTGTCAAGCCATGGAATCGATAAGATTATAGACTATAGCAGGGGCTTAAGGGAAGAGCTCAAGAAAGTCAGGGATACAGAAGAAGTAAGTCGTATCTCGACGTGCATGTGTAGTATAAGCACAAAACTAATACGCGCCCTGACCTAGTCAAGACAGCGACCACTCTTCTTCATCGCTCACAGTTTTGGTGGCATAATACTCGCTCACGTACGTGCTCTACCCGAAAATGTAGATGTGGAGCTGAACAAAGACACAGTGCCTCAATCAAGCGCGTCAGACGAACGAAGACGATGACCTTACGATATCAGCCGTTCACAGAGCCACTTACGGCATGCTTCTCTTTGCAATTCCGCACAAAGGCATAGCAATCGACGGTATTCAGAAGATGCTTGGAGGACAGGAAGACCACTCAAGGATCGGGCTGCTTGAGCAGATCAAGAAAGGTTCTGATATCCTAGCTCAGTCGCTAGCTGATTTCAAGAATGTTGTTCGAGATCGGAAGGTAGTAAGCTTCTACGAGACAGGGCAAACCAGGCAGGTCGAGCTGGTATGATACCCCAATACACTCATATTCAAGCACGTTACTTGAACATTGCTGATGTATTTGCGATAGAATAGCGAAAGCTCACGTTACGCCAGAACGGGCGAGTTTGTCACAGTGGTTGATACGGACTCAGCTATTCTTCAACTCCCCGATCATCTTGAGGAGAAGATTCCCTTGACTGCCGACCATTCCATGATTGTCAAATTTGACAGCACGGACGATCAAGGTTACACCAGTGCGCGGGACAAACTTAGAAAGTTTGAGCAGGATGCACCAAGTGTGGTTGCAACTCGTTTCCGTACGTGACCTTTTTTCCAGTGAGCCCTCCAACTCAAGGATTGTGTTTGGAATGAAATCTGTCGCTACCTGAACAAATCCTAATGGATGTTATCTCTGACCATCTGGTAGAATTTGCTGTCCATCCGAAAGGGGATAATTCTATGGCGAACTGGATCTCAAGTATTCCTTACGAGTCTCATCATGATTTTGCTTGCCAGAACCTCCTTGCTGGATCCGGTCAGTGGCTGTTTGACAGTGATGAATTCATTTCCTGGGACCGTGCCGATCCCCTCACCTCTACAGTGTTATGGCTCCATGGCATCCCTGGGTCAGGGAAAACTTCGCTGGTGGCTCTCGCTATTCAGCGTGAACGAAAGCGCCTCACGGATACAAAAGCTCAGCTGGCATTCTTCTACTGCCAGCGGTCAAGTGCTGAGCCCCAGCGTTCCAAGCAACGGGAGTTACTTTGTTCACTCCTAAGGCAGCTTGCTTTCGACAAAAACGGTGGTTTGAAAGAACCCGTGAGAACCTTGTACGAAAAGAAGAAGAAAGACGCCGCGCTAGCCCAGCACGAAGTCCAGATGTTCACAGACGAGGAAGTGATTACACTGCTCGTCAAGCTTTTCAAGATGCGGAACACAACAATCATGATCGACGCACTCGATGAGATGGTCAGAGACGAAAGACCAACGTTATACGAGGTTTTTGATAATATCAGCGAACGGCTTCGAGATAGCAATTCTACCGACAACCGCCACGCCGTACTTCGCCTCTTAGTTTCAAGCCGCAACGATAGAGATATCGTTCTAAAACTGAGCAGCTACCGGAATGTTTGCATCGGTGTGGAAAAAAATCGCGAAGATATCAGAGAATTTGTGAAGCGGGAGCTTAAGAAGAGTATAAGGGGGTACCAATTGCTTGTCGACACCCCCGAGGACCAACAACAAGCAATCCTTGAGTCGATAGAGAGAACGCTTGTTGCCAAAGCTCAAGGAATGTATGTATCATCAAGCTTAACATCAAGCTGTGGCAAGGGACACTAAGCTCACACTACCAGGTTCCGATGGGTTAGTCTCCAGATACCGTGGATCTGTCAAGCACGAGACTCAGAGTCCGTACATCACCAGTTGGCTACGATACCCGAAGATTTAAAAGAATCTTATCATCGGATATGTGACCTCATGAAGAGTACGCTCCTTGAAAAGGAACTAGTACTTGCCGAAAATGCAATCAGATTGATATTAGCTGCAAAACGTAACTTGGAAACAAAAGACTTCTTAGAAGCACTGCAGATGGGCTCGGAGTGGAAGAGACCTGTTTCTGCGAATACGCTCATGGAGATGTGTCAAAATCTCGTCGAGTTAGACACAGAGAGCAATGTCTTCAGGTTCGCGCATTTGTCCGTCCGGGAATATTTTGAGGAAAAGGAAGGCTTCAAAACAAGAGATGCTAACGCCTTCGTCTTGAATTCATGTATAGAACGTTTGCAAAGGCTTAGCGGAGACCACCAATCGGACATCACACCATTCGGAGAATATGCCTTGGCGTACTGGCTTCAGCATTGCGAAGCCATTGGATCTGATGGTCCACCCGAGCCACTCAGAAGCAAGGTCAAAGAAGTTATCCATAGTAAAGGTAAACCATCTCAAACCTTTGAGTTGTGGATGAGTATCTTGGATGAGAATATGGAACATTTAGGCCTTTCAGAGATCCAAAAGCTCAGGATCACACTTGTATCAACTCCCATCGCGTTACCCTCTTTTGTCGCTTCCGGGTTTGGGCTTGTATGGCTCCTCAAGGAGGAATTCTGCCACCAAGAGGTGGGATGGTCATCAGTAAACGAATCAGGAGATACAGCACTCCATGTTGCATCGACTTGTGGCCAGCTGGAAACCGTCAGATATCTCCTAGATCAGGGAGCTATCATTAACGGCGATCAAGCATACGCTCTGCACATGGCTGCTTACTATGGTCATGATGAGGTTCTGTCGCTCTTGCTGGAAAGACACGCGGATCCGGATACCCAAATCTACCGGGAGAACTGGGGGACTGGAAAAACTGCTCTTCACTACGCTTCGGCCCACAGTCGTTCAGAGCAAATGACTAATTGCTTGTTAAATTATGGTGCCAATACGGAACTTGTTGATGACGTTCTCGAGACACCGCTATTCAATGCCTTGAGATGTAGTACAAAGACCCCTCGGATTCTTATAAGACGTGGCGCCAACATCCATGCGGTATCACAGGCAGGCGCAACACCTTTACATGTAGCTACTTGGGCCACAGCAACCGATCCAGTGTTCCAGGAAAACGTGATTCTGCTCTTGAAGATGGGCGCAGATAGGTTTGCGACATGCAACACTGGATTCACACCAGTCGGCTGGGCCAGTATCAGTCCCAGTCTTACCAGGCTGTTCTTTGAAGAGGTACCGGACGAGGGTCCCATGGAGCTGCAAACTGGAGTTTTCTCCATCGTGCAAATGGGTTCTGACTTCTCGCTTCAATACATTCTTGACCGCGTACACGATGCAGACGTAAATCTCGCTCAAAGCTGTGCAAAACGACCTTTGGACTTTGCGTTAGAGCGCATGCAAAGTGGGCATATATCAACTCTCTTGGGCCGTGGTGCCCGACCGGGCCTCTATTGGGATCTCAGTTCGCAATGGATACAGCGTTGGAGACACGAGAGGTTCTTCAGTCAGCTCTCAGAGGTACTCTCTGAGCCAGTGACACCGCTCTTCGTGTCACAGTTCAGTGTTGTTTCAGGCAGTCGTTTTGGTGAAGTTTGTGTCGATGAGAACAGCCTCGATCTCCCCTACTTCGAGCTTGCCATTCCCAAAAACCTTGCAGCGATAAAAGGAGTTGTTTTCCATACGATTTCGCACGATCAAGGTACGTCGTTTGAAAATATTTTGTTGATCAACAGCGCTCATAGTCAATAGGATGGAGTGACAATAGCGAAACTATCGGTGGCACGTACAACTCACACTCTTGGCTGGAAGTCCAATGCGGACTTCCTGAAGGAAAGACACCGGGTCCATTTCATGGGCAACACAGACCTGCACTCCAGTATAATGTTCACGCCAGCGGACAATGGCGCTGGCATAGAAACATATGGGATGTGAACGATCCTACACGAGAGCGTTGGCTCAAGAGCCTGTCACCAGGTGACACTATTCAGGTATTCGCAAAAGCAAGATACCAAGGTTGGCAATGCTATGTCCACTCGGTACGCATCGAGATCTATGGGGAGTTCGTGGAATCTGCATTGTCAGAATTGCCGCTTGATCAATCCAACATTCAACCGAGTGGACTTTGGTCATGGCTAGGATCATGGGTAGAGAATTTGTCTGGCTAGAGATTGCGAAGCCTAGCTATAGAGTATTTCAGGATAGTCCAATGAGTAGACCCTCTGGCATATCATTGCAACACGCCGAAGCAATGCACTCGCTACGCTTGTTAGATCGCACTTTGTAAGGTTGGTCATCCGGAAACAGCAGGCGACACGGCAAACTTATAACATCTGGATCTTTGCCTAGACTGTCTAGGACTTCAGGGTTTATATTAAGGCAGCTGCTAGAAGGTAAGTGAGTAGTAGACCCCAGAGAGTTTGAGAATATCCTTTGTAAGTTGTAGAGGCTACAGATTATAGCAACACACTCTATGCGCGATCAAATTAGCTCTCTAGTGTAGCATGAGGTTTAATAGTAGTAATTAGCTTAACCAATAAGATATAGCACACATCTGTATCTATGCGTACGTGATCACAAATTTGACTATGTACGTACACGCCTAGGTGCGAATCTGCCCCGGATGCCAGGCAGGCTCTTGTATAGGGTCACAAATACAATCGAGAGGCTATATTTAGGTAGCGAACATGTCCTATTCCTGAATCTTACTCTCTAACAAAGCTACTAAGGCATCAGCAAAGGCCTCAGGCTCAAGCATGTATGAGATATGACCTCCAGGAAGCCGCACTACCTCCTTGCCAAGCATTTGAGCAAGCAGCGTGATCGGCCCAACGCCAGGCCCATCTCCAGACGTTGTCCCGGCCGCCGGCACAAATTTCGTCTTCTTGGCCTTCATGTCCTCCAGATCCAGCAAAGCAGACGTGTATTGGCGCAACTCAAACTCAAACCAGTACATGGAGTTTGCACGGATCTCATCTCCCCGCGTAGGATCCATGCAAAATCTCATCTTTGCGCCTTCTTCGCCTGCAGACAAGCCGCCAGAGAAGACCTCCATTGCTGCCTGTATGCCCTGCTCACGGTAAATACTGTAGATGTACTCGATGAGGCCAGCGGCTTGAGCACGCGATTGCTCAGGTAGTAGCGCAAATGCTGGAGGCTCATGGGCAATAAGAGTGTGCACTCGGTTCGGGTGTTGAATCAGGAGCTGTGTGGCAACGATGGCACCGGAGGACGTGCCGAAGACGGCAACCGCTTCGGTGGAAAGGTGGGCGATCAAGGCGCTGGCATCATCCGCATCTGTCGAGAGCCGATTCTTGAAGTCTTGTGCACCAATGTGCTGGCTCTGAGAATAACCTCGGCGGTCGTAGCAAACTACCGTGAAGCTGCGGGAGAGGTGTCTAGCTGCGTCGTGGAAAACAGCTCCACGGCCATCTGCACCCGGAATGCAGAGTAGCAATGGCCCGTTGCCAAAGGTATCGTAATGTAGTTTTGCATTTGAAAGGTTGAGGAAAGGCATTGTCAGAAAGTGAGTCGTGAATTGGAAAAAATTGTGCTGAAGGTGAGCAAGCTTTGGATTTTTCTTGTAGTGCGTGGGTGGAACGAGGTGGACAAAGTATGAATATATATATAGCTATGTACGGGGAGTTTGACTACGGTTCGGGTTATCCGGCATGCCCGCGATAGGTACGATAGCGGCCCAAACGCGATTCATCCATGTCCGCGATGCAACTCAGCTTAGTAGAATCTTTCGTGGGTACTTTGATGGAGTAAGTGACGTCGCGGTTCCTCAGCACTGCCGAATGACCAATAATACCTTGCTCCGGTCCCGATCCCGATCCCGATCTCCGCGGCTTGGCATACTAGCTCACAAAGTCTCCGGCACGGTCAAGTCTTGTTCTTCTGTATCCTCGATACTCAGCTTGCCAGGTTACTGGTGTCAATTTGTCATAGCGATGCAGCCTCACAAGCGTCGCAAGACATTACTTGCCTGTAATCAATGTCGAGATCGCAAGACCCGTTGTAGTGGGGACCGTCCTCTCTGCAGGTCCTGTCAAGAAAGACACTTGCAATGTCAATATGAACAGGCTTCGATCCGAACCTCATCGTAGGTCTTCCACGTATATGCGCGGTTCTACCAGTTTCAACCTCTAAGATCTTTCAAGGTCAGCTTACGATACTGAGCGTCGCTTGAGATTGCTGGAACGACTGAATTCTCGAACCGATCGTTGGGCCGGTCTTACCCCTGCAACGCAGCTGTGCGCTCAAGATACAGGACAGGATGCTTCATATCAGCTTCCCACTATACGAACAGAAGCGATAGATGGATCTCCAGAAGAAGGCTTCATTAGACAGACAACCCACGCGGATTCTTCAACAGATTCCTTCCTAAGCCAAGTCAGCTCTACTGCACATAGACTCGAACGACCAGTACGGCCAGAGACCATATCGTCGCCATACAGCGGAAACGCCGATCACTCTTCGCGATTGTGCGATGCACCAACAGTGAATAGCTTTGTTCCAGAACCAGACGTTGATATTGATCTCATGGAAAGCTTCTGGAACAACATTCACCCCATATTTCCCCTCTTGCATCGGCCGACTATTCTGCAAGCATACGAACATCTTTGCGAGCCATACAGAGCTGGAACTCGCAAGAACAGCGAGGAAAGCAACACCTTTCAGGCCATTTTGTACATTGTGTTTGCCCTCGGCATTCAATACGACAAACAACTCGCTTTCGACCATCGTGTTACAAGAGCAGACGCATTCTACAAGATGTCACTTGATCTCGTATCTTCGAACGCCATCGATAATCCTACACAGTCGCATGTTCAACTATTTCTACTCACGAGTATTTATCTGCATTCTACTGCATATGCCAATCGCTGTTGGGACATGATTGGTACTGGAACTCGTATAGCCATAGGGCTGGGCTTGTTTCGAGAGAGCGCCTCTTTTCACGGTAAGGAATCTCAACTGAAACGCGAAATGAGGCGCAGGATCTGGTTCTGTTGCGTCATTCTGGACAAGTAAGTCGTTCAGCTCTAAAGTCATTCACATCGACACCTACTAAACGAGAAATGAAGGATGTCAGCTGCGACCTTCGGAAGGCCTACGACTTTGCCAAGACCATGGAAGACAATGCCTCCCAAGGCGATTGATGACGAGTTTCTCCAATATGCAGGCGAAGGCTCCCAGCCGCTAGGTCTTCCTTCTTATGTCGAAGGATTTGTGTACTCTCTTGGCCTATTCGAGATTCTTGATGATGTTCTAGCCATGTCTCACAACCCACAAGAAGAAGATGAAGAAGAGCACGCTAATGGTCATAGGCACCAAGCTAGAAAATCTATGTCTAGACTTGTCGACACTCTGTCCCTTGATTCACGGCTTGAGGATCTAGTGAACAGCATGCCAGATCGCTTGAGGCTATCAGAGACTCATGAGAATTCATTAGCCCATTCAAGGAACGCCTTCTATGTGCAGGCCCAGGTGCTGCATTGCAGGTACGTGCAACGCCAAGATCGACGAGAAAAGTTTAGCTGACCAGTGTTAAGGATACACTACGTTCGCCTCCTTATCCTTCGACCATGGTTGCTTGAAGGAACTAGTTCTGACTTCCCTATGTCACTTGGTGCTAGCACTCTTCGAGAGATCCGTAGTCTCTGTATCTTGACCGCGCAGCAGACTATCGACGTACTTTATAAGGCCGAGACATGTCGTGCAAATCATTCGAGTTGGCACGCAGTATGTTGTAAGAAAGTCTCTGACATGTATTCTCAAGTGATAAACTAATTTACACAGTTCTCTACACCGCTGCTAGCGTTCTTCTTGCGGCCGCTTTTCTTCCTAAAGCCAACGGAGGCATCGATCTGTCTTGCGAACCATATCTGAATTCCTGGCATAAAGCTCTACAGACTTTGAGACACAATGAAGTGCAACTACAGGCTTGCTCACAGGCTGTGAAGTTGTTGGAGAGCTGTCGAGAGAAGCTTCGATCTGAAGTTATGATTAGAGTCTCGGAAGGTATGTTCGCTTGCCTTCTACCACAACTCCAATCGTGAGATATGGGAATGTAATGACTGATCCGAAAACACATAGAACCGCGGGGACAAGATGCTGGAGGCGCACACATGTCAAGCACGGACACCGATATTGAGTGGGCATTTGATTTCGAGAGTCTGGACTTTCTTAGGCCTAGTTACTGCTGAAGCTCAAGTTTGTATATCAAAGTCATGTCCATCTCTGATACTACAAGCAGTGCGAAATCATCGACTTATTATATAATACAACTACTGACGCTAGCCTACGTATTTGCTCGGGCTAGGCATTCAACGACAAAGAGCAGCCTATCCAGAGGTTTTGTTACCAAATACGCTCCAGGCACGAGACATGATTTTTAGAAAGCAAGGAGCTAGTCGTGCACGTGATACTGAAATTTGGTGGTTTGAGACAGGAAGACACCGATTAGGGCAGTAGTTTCGATGGGCACGGGCGACGACGTTAGTATGGGACCTTTGGACATCTCAATCCGAAAATGCGAACTGGAATTACCCGAAGACCTTTAAGCTATCAAGAGATGACAAAGAAGGCTCTAAATACATACCGGCTACTTCAACAGGAAAGGGAAAAAGTTGTGTATAAGGCAGCATCCAGGCATTTTTGAGTTGTCGGGAGACGACGGGAAGAACCGTGATCAGCTTCAGGCTGAAAATGTTGATGCAGGTCAAATGCCAGAAGTGCACGATCTTATCATGGCCTATTGGGAACGCCCTTCGCTCTGCTTGCATACCATCCAGACTATTCCACCAAGGCTTAGAGAAGATGACATGTAAGGATGTATCGACTATGAGTCTAGTGACGCTAGCCTTCGCTTAAAATCTCATGGGAACCTTCGTAGACATGTATGGACCCTACCATGTGTACAGCATGTTGTCTGGCTGCTCCGTGTCGAGCAACCCTGAGAAGATCGGAACATTGATCTCATAGCCGCGGCGCATGGCTTCAGCGATGATGACTAGGCCTTTGTAGAAACGACTCCAGATGATGATCTTCTCCCCAGGGTATCTCTTCTGAATGTCCTTGTAGAGTTCTATAAGCGCCTCGCAGCGAGGAGTGAAGACGTCGATATCTTTCATCTTGCCAATCCGATCCAAGAACAACTGATGCTTGGTCGACTTCTCTGGATCCTTGGTCTTCTTATTCTTCTTCGTCTTGTCGTCTTGTGCCTCTATACACAGCAAATTTGATGCGTCTGGCTGGTGGAACTCGGCTGTGTCATAGTCGATGTCCTCCATGTTCTCCATGCCTTCCACGACCCTCATGCCTTCCATATCCACGTCATTCTCTCGGCGTAGGGGTTCAATCATAGACAGTATTCTCAGTTCCTGGAAGCCGCTCTCGAGCAGCTAAGTCGTCATGGCTTCGGTAAAGTCCCTTGTGTCGATGGCGTTCTCGTCTATGTTTGCGCAACGTAGCAAATCCATAGCCTTACCAGATGATCCCGTGTTGGCATTGAGATCGCGAACTGCGCTGATGAAGTGTGCTGTAGCCTGCTTTAGATCGACTGACCGCTTCTTCATCGCCACGTTCTGTCGATCGTTGTACGTTGCGAGAACAGAAACTTCTGAATCTTCCTCGGCCTTGGTGCAAAGTCCCATTACGGAGCGGGAATCATCGTCTATGACAACTATTTCCTCGCCGTGGCCCATCCGTACGACCCTGATGAAGCTTCCGATAAGACAAACCTTTTCCTACCACGACAACGTGTGTTGAGAGCCATAGTATGGATACTAAGAATCGTGAAGCCTACAATGCTTCTAGTCGCTATTAGAGTTCCTCTCAAAAGTCAATGTAGACTTCAACGTAAGGCATAGTAGCGCTGTTTTCCTTCTGGTTCTTCAGTTTATGCGCTTGCTTGAGGATGCTAACGCGTGGCTGTTTTCCCTGCTCCCGATAATTATGTCATGCGAGGGATCAATGCGTGGTATATTCAGTGCATCATTTCTACCTCCTTCACATGCTGACGCACTGACAAATTGCAGTGCAAACGTTAAGCTCCGAAAGCGCAACCTCTCGGTTCCCACCTTCACTTGCCGCGCAGGTGGTCTTTTGGTACCGTGGACCTTTATCAGCCTTTCGAACTTCACAACTCTTCTTACACTCCTCTTCCAGCACGCCACTACCTTGATACTGCGCAGATTATCTTCGAACATACGATCAACCCAACAAAAATCCCAATCCATACCTTAGAAGGTATGAAGAGACCGAAGGCTGGTAATCCCAGCATCGGACGCCGGTTCACAGACTGGAGACCAAAAGTATACCATCATCATCCATATTCACCGTGTATTACTAACGTATACATCAAGCCTGCACCGCCCAAGAACAGACCTACCGAGACTAACATGTCCACGACGAGGAAGCCGGCGAAGAAGAAGAGGAAGATCTCAGCCAAGAGGCCAGCAAAGATAGCCACGAGCGAAGACCATGACAACGATGATGGCGATGATTACTATGTGCCCTCGGAGTATGACCAAGACTCTGACAGTGACGCAAGCAGCATCATGTCGGTCGATGCCAAAGAAATGGGTGATGGCGTACAAGAAAAGCTTGGTAGAGATGGCAAGGTCATCAGATCTCGAGGCCCAGTCAAGGACTATGCGCTTGTGGAAGAAGCAGTCGTATCAGATGAATCATGGAAAAAATCTGGTGCATACCACAGGCAACAATTCAAGGCTCTGCTCGCCGAGCAGGTATGTCTTCCCATAAGGAGACACGAACATGACTAACTGGACCATACAGAAATTCAACGCAGACGCCGAAGTCAATGACGCAGATGTCCCAACTGTCGAATGTGACGTCCAGGGCGAGGATGACGACGAGGAGGCTAGTTTTGGCCTGCAGCGCGCACCAGATGAGACCAGGGAGGAGTTCCTCGCGTCCATGACACCGGATTATGTCTACAAAGATGGCAACAAGATTTATTCACCCGCCTACAAAAAAGCTATTTGGAAGGAACCACACAAAGGCAAAAATGGAACTGTCGAGTGGAAGGCCAAGGCAACTGACCGGCTGAATGTCTATCCCGATGGCTCAATTGCATTGCGCCGGAGATTTGACTTGGAGACTTCTGCAACTGAAGGAATGCGACCTAACAGAAAGAAGCGGATGGAAGAGGACGGCAAGGAAGAGACAGAGTAGGGACTGTTCTTAACGGTGAACAAGGGAACGGGCGGACGTTTTGTGGTGGTCGTAGGGGTCTTGACAGTTGCGAGATGGCATTGAGCTGCTGACACATGGGCAGGCTCCTCGAAAAGTGTTTTTCGTCTTGATTTCTTTGAAGGTTTGGGCGTCGGAACAAAAGTGGATTTACTTCAGACTAGCAGGTGACTGGAAACCTGATGGTATGGGCCTTATGCGTTGGTTTCTAGTCTTTCAGTATTCAGCAAGTTCGGCGTGCTTTCAAGTCCATTACTGGCATCATCACATCTATTCAAGTTTCAAGAAGAGTATGATTCACTGTGTATTGATTGTAGCAATCGATATCGGCACTCGCGGACGAACTTTTGTTCCGTGACTAGATCTACCTCGCTGAACCCACCTCACTGAACCTGCCCTTGTCCGATATTCTTCGCGCCACATTCGCAGTCGCTAGAACGGAAAAGATTGAGGTCAACGGTAGAATACATCGACAGCACATGCTTTGCAAAACGCTGGGTACAAATCATCAAGATTGCCCGGGTCGATCCGGAAGCGACAACCGGCACAACGTCTGTTTCCAAGTCTTGCATCCTCTTGTGCCTTACACTCATAGCATTCGCCTTTTCGCGCCACAAACCTCCCACCCTCAAGTCCGGGCTAACCTAAGGTGCAGAGAGCACCTTTTTGCTGTCCCTGTCCTCCTTGGGCTTACAGTGAACCGGTATCGCTATCGGGATGAGCGGATGGAACTGGTCGTTGGCTGCGCGCCTTGCCGTCGCCATCACCATTGCCGTAGTCGTGTGCATCTTCGAGGTCGCTGTGGCCGTGGGCCTCGCCGTGCTCTTCGACATTCATCATCCCTTCGCTACCGCTTGTCTTCTTGTCGTACTGCGCTCTCATAGAACTGCCGTTCTCATCGGTGACCACTTTGCAGGTGCCATGATTCATGTGGAAGGTAGTTCCGTCAGAGCGTTCACCCCTGTAGATCTTCTCCTCGTCGACGTACGGTGCGAAAGCGTCCTTATTTGGCTCATCGTCGTTGGCGCAAGACTCGATACGATCCCGGATGCCTAGAAACTGACATTATCATACGGCTTTGGGGCAGCGAAGACGGTGGTGATTACCCTGCTCTTGGCCTTCTCCGTCATCCTTGGTGGATGCAAACCATGACTTCCCCATCTGGAAACCAGCGCCCTTGGTACCGGCCTCCACAAGAGATTTAGCAGCCTTCTGCATCAGATCAATACACTGTGATTTCAGAAGGTCGATCTCGGCGTTGCGATATTGTTGTAGGAGATCTAGCAGTGGCAGTAGTGCCATTTGTACCTCATGGCTCTGCGGTGAGCGCCTTGGCCGCTTGAGAGCTTGGAAGGTCGTGAGAAATGTGGCGAGATCTATGAAGGCTTGCATTGCCGCTGCCACCTTTGCCTTTTGTTCCTGGAATCTCGGATCGCTCTGGTTCATCTCCTTCAGTGTTTTGGTAGCGGTCCTGGCTTCGTTGCTTGCGGCGAGAATTTCAGCTGTCATAGGGTCGACGAGTGGCTCCGGCGCTCTCGCGGTCGTTTCGTTCGCCTTTGGCGGCATGTTGTTAGCGGTTGTCGTGTTGCTTGTGATCGGAAAGTTTTCGGTGGAAGAAGAAGTGAGGAGACTAAGTGAAGGCGGCGTCGTCGGTCGCGGTCAGCGGGCGCGCTAAGGCGCATCTGTGTATATCAACACTGACCAGCTCACTGCCCTCTTCCACCTACAAAACACTCCACGGCCCTCAAGATGACGCCAAATACGAGTACCAACGCGCAGCACGATCCCCAGCTTGCGAAACTCGTCGACATCTAGATTATGATCAATGAATTGGCCAGCACTGGCGAGTAGTGGATCATCGACGCAATCGAGCGCGCTATCGGAGACGCATCTAATGACTTTAGAGGCGCAGAGGTTGCACAACTGATTGCCATATACCGCCTCATGGATCTTGACGTGGAGTTCGACCAAGGATCGGCGATCAACGCCCAACAGTGGCTGATTGTACGTCTCGGCAGTATTACACAGTGAATCTGTAACTAACCAATCACAGAAGATGTTCCCAAACTTGGGTGGAAGCGGATACTTGACCGCTGGTATGGTCCTCGGATACGGCAAGCACCTACGAACCCATCGAACCCGCATGACCTACGGCAAAGTCAAAGCAAGCCTTAGTCTCTACATCAAGTACCAGCTCGAGCACCCGGACGACGGGACCACCGACGACTGCGAGTTATACATAGCAAGGCGTATGGACCTCTTCCATGAGGATGAGTATGCTTAGGGTCGGCTTCATCGGCTGCAGGTGTAGCGCGGGCAGGCTTATTGGGGAACTCATTCTCGTGAAGAAAGCACACTGTTCTTCTTGCTTATCGTAGCTCTTGACCTGAGCAGTGTGCCTTCCATAGCGGCCAAGAGGAGTGGTTGGACTGACCAGCTGCATCTTTGTGGCTGAAGAAATTTCTGACGATACATCACAAGCTACGACTCGGTATTGCCGTGAAGTAGCATGAATCATAGGAAGAAACGTGAGATAATACCGAAAGACACATGCCTGATATGTCCACCATCGTTACCATTTGAAAGTGACGAGGATGATGACCGCAACGCTGGGATACCACGCGAGGATTTAATTCTGATGTTGGCCCTTACGTGTGCTCACCGCCATGGTTATATACATGTTGCTGGTGTCAAGAGACGACGGTCGCGGATAGGAGACAGCTTCCTACGCTTTTCCCTCGCCCTTACGTCACTATGCACCGACCCAACGCCTATATACTGCCTGTCGAAGACACAGCTAGACTCAAAGCCTTGTTGGACGCAACCAGAGATTTATCTCAAAGGCATTATTGAAGCTTGCGCTCTGCATCTCCGTATCCCCCATCATACCGCTCTGTTAGCAAGACTAGAGGTGATTCCCCGCCTTGGTCACCGTTCTTCCTAAGAAGATCATAGTCAACCTTAACGAAGCTTTACCTTCTCCATCTCAGGTCTCTGACTCTCAACTGCGCATCTTCTCGCTAACAGACGTGGCGCACAGCCCAATCGATTAGTCCAAGAGATGACTGAAGAAGCAAGGTCAGACCAGGCACCGAACGTCTTGGTCGATATTTCTGTAGCCCCAGCCGTAGTTCTTCTCCTTCCACCGCCTCCAAACCGTAATCCTAATCAATGGTTTATCTACAATGTAAAGTAGGAAGCTAGTAGGAAGGCAGTGCGTAAAACTGCAAGACAATCAGGTACTGGCCCGTGCACGCTACATAGCCCAACGGGCTGATTAGTTATTGCCTTGTCTTCCCTGCCAAGCTGCCGACGCTGCCGGCATTAATTCCACGCGACAGGACGTAATTATAGCTACGACCTAACTAACAAGGCTACTGTTCCCCACCTGCCAAGGCGCTTCGGAGTGTCTATACAATGTACGTCCGTCTTGTTCCAATCGTCGTATAAGTATCGTTCGTCTTGCTGTTATATTGAGCCATCGCAATAAACTTCTGTCGCGCAAACATGGTTGCTGTACAAGTCTTAGCCTGTTTCCTCGCGACCACCGGAGGTGTCCTGTAAGCGGTTGAAAAATAATCTCTAAGATTGATTTGTTGGCTGACACTCGTCCTAGAGCCTCGGTAGGTGGCACTGAGGATGCTTTGGTCTCTCCAAACGCTGAGCGTCGCAATCTGCACGCAAAATCCCATTCAAGACGGGCTGACAATGCGACTGTGCTATTGCCTATTGACGTGCGCTTGTTCCCGGAATTCAAGTATGGGGAGCGCGCGATGCTAACGAGGTCGCAGGTTTACATGCACGTCATAACTCCTGGCGACATCGAAGGAGAGGGATATATTAGGTATGCTTCGATATCGTGGACGCCGGAGAGTTTTTGTTAACTTCCTTTCGAGCGACGCGGCGCTCAGTGCGCAGATGGAGGTCCTGAACAATGCTTTCGAACCTGTTGGATTCCAGTTCAATCTTGTAAACACGACGCGCACGATCAACGAGTATTGGTAAGCCAGCGGAGACATGATGAAAAGGTGCAAAACCTGATATTCTCCAGGTACAACAATCTCTTAGAAGCACGTCCGTCTGAACGAGAAGTCTCGGCAGCTCTGCGGCAGGGCGATCTCGCTACACTAAACATATACAGTATGGGGTAAGTGAACCTACTCATATGCTCTACGAAGAGAGCTGACATCGACATAACAGTGTCGTCAACACGACAGAGACTGCCTGGGCAACGCTCCCTGCCTCGCAGGCATCTTACGATGGCGTCTTCCAGAACAACACAGCATTTCTAGGGGGCAGTCGCCCTCTCAATGAGGGAATTACGCTTGTTCACGAAGTTGGTCATGTAAGTGCAGTATCCACCTCGACTCTCACGAAACTCCCGCGTGAAATGCTCATATAACGATTACTAGTGGTGTGGTCTCTACCATGTCTTCAACTTTGGCTGCGCTGTGAGCTACGACTACGTAGGTCCCATCATCATCTCACATTCAAACCACCTTTTTATTGAATATTTAGGTCGCAGACACGCCAAACCAGCAAGCACCCGAGGTCTCGGGTGAATGCGACATCGGACGGTAAGGCAGCTCACATCACTTGGGCTTTGTACAATGCCAACTGACTAACTCCCGAAAATAGCGACTCCTGCCCTGACCAGCCTGGTTTAGATTCCATACGTAGGTAGTCGATCAGCAACCTGCAACAACAACAGCACTGGCTATCACTGCTAATCTTACATCAGATAACTACATGTCGTACTCGGCCGACTATTGCCGGTACGAATTCACGCCCGGACAAATCCAGAGGATGCGAGAGCAGATGGCCAAATTCCGTGGTGTCGTGTATCCTGGCATTGACGTTGACAACATCCCTGAAGACTCGATTGAGATTCCGCCTCCAGAAGAGTAGACGAATAGGAAGGGGGCAACGCTTTGATCTTGAAGGATGCGAACTCTGGCAGTACTGTTGCGAGACTGTCCAAGGCTTTATTGCCAAAACAGTATATCTACCTCGCCCACCTCACTACAATCTTCTTCATCTTCTTCACCTGCATTCCAATTGAGAAGGGAGATTTTGAGAGTGTTGTAAGGTTCTAGCTCCGAAGCGACAGTGTGTATTGGGATGGCTAATTTGATCATTTGTCATCTAAGTCCTCTTGTGTATTTGTGACAACACCTTCCAGAAACTGGAGGACAGGTCGTTCCTTTCCGCATGGACGAAAACCATCTCCCTTTCTTGTTTGTATTCTAAAGTGCTGCTCTAGTCCTTCTACACTCGATCTATCCCCCAGTTTCTCCAACTCCATCCCCTTAACAGAAGCAACCGAGGTTGCGAGGAGCAAGGCATTCCACACGCACGGGAAGACCTTGCGGAATGCACCTGTTTGTACAGGGGGCACGAAGAGCCGCGAGCTGAGTATTGCATTCTTCGAGTGAAAAGCCGCAAAAGTTCGGACCGGGTTCGCAGGAGCCGATAGGGCGCGTTTGACGCTTTGTCAAGACGTGCACACCTTCGGATGATGGTAGGGGTCCTGCGACAGCGAGACTGAGGAGAGCGGGAGCAATGAGAGCAAACTTCATTGTCGTGGAACAATGTTCTTGAGAGAAGAGTAGTGCTACGTGCTGAAAGTTGGAAAAGTCGCGTGTAGGAGATATCTGCTTGAGTGGATAGACTGTATTGCAGTCGCGACACAAGACTTTATAATCTGTAGAATTAAACATGATATCTGCCTAGAGAAACGTGAGCCGCAAGCAACCGGAACATATGAAGTATCTTCCAAGGTTTACCCTGAAAAGTTCTGGGGTGTAAGCGGACAAGAGTGCCCGTGCGATGTAAGACGATATTTGTCATTCTTCATCCCGGAATGCCTTCGATGTTGTAGCGGGCTATTTAACAGCACAGCATGGCTGTAATGCTGAGAGTAACTATATGAAGTTGTTTGTAGCATAGACAAGACTAGATAGTGAAGCTACGCCGTGAAGATAAAATTACTACCTGTGCGTTGTGACGTCTAGCGCCTTACAGCGCCAAGAAGCGATGGAGCCAGCTTACTTCCTTGACTACTCGAGAATCGCCGAAACGGTAGTCGTCTAAGCTATATAATTGTCTAGTACAGTAAGCTGAAGTGGGATGCTATACTTGAAACAATGTAGATTAGTGTTCATTCGTTACAAATCTATTACATGAGTTATTCTTGATAATAGAGCAGGCGACACAGAACAAAAGATAGAAATGCGCAAAGCTGCTAATGACTCGAGACTGAGGAACAGAGACAGTTTAATATTGTGGATTGAATGAACACAAAGCTAATCAATTATCAAAGTCTTACGTAGAATGTAGAGAAATAAAGTGTTTGAAGATCAAAGTTCACTAATCCTCTTTTCTCTCAAAGTTGGTGCAGCACTAGAGAGTCAGACTATCGGACCGCGGAAGGATCGGCCTACTGCGTCACCTTTTGCGGAGTGCGGAGTGATAACAAGATGCTCAGTTATTCTGCACAAGCTGTCCCCCCAATGCCACGTAAACCTTATTCCTTGCCTGGTACTTCAAAATTTAAATACTGGACTTGTTCTCACCGAAATCGTTCCCGCTCTCTGTCCAATCCGTACGGAGACGAGGCACGAGATGATGCGTCCAGGAAAGGATCGACTGGAGTAGCAACGACGCGATCCGCGGGGGTCATCTGGATAGGAAACATCTCCCTGTTGTTCTCTAGTTCTGCATCATCTGCCACATGGTGGTGAAGCCCGCCGTGGCCGAGTTTGCTATGGCATTCGTCGCAGCGACGTTTGCGACAGCAGCAGCACAGATGGCGAGAAAGCCATGAACGCGGCATCTTCGCGCCATCGCCACGAATGAAGCGACCTGGATGGACAACGTTCCAAACCAAGATGGCCAACCACATTGGTGTCGACTCCAGGACGTACAGGAGTGGCTCGTTACTTGGAAGAGGATTACTGTGGTCGAGACCACCGGAGAACTCAGCGAGGCGGTAGACGATGCGAACTGTGATCGCCAGCAAACATCCGTAGAGCGCCCCGATTAACCATCTCCAGCTACCCATCTTGTCCGCAGTCAGTCGTCCTACTCTTTCTGCCCGTAGCTGGTCGCGATGGAATTTGATGACTAGGCCCAAGAACAGAACAATGAAGCCCTCTTGCATACCAATTCCGCCCATGTATATGTTCAGACCCTTCTTTTGTGCATCTGCGCTTGCACCAGGGCCAGCCATTCCACCGCCGATGAGTTGAACGACGAAAGAAACGATATCTAGGGTGACGAAGACCAGAGCGAGGATAGAAGGCGAGAGAAACCAGACTTTGCGAGTGGGCGAATAGAAGTGGACCATTCGAGCAAAGACCATGTATGCAAAGGCATTGACCCAGATAGGAGCCACCAGCACTAAGATCTGAGCAACAGTCGCAATGCCAGAGGATTGCTGGTTCTTGGATCCAAGAGCGCGGAAAGCATATGCTCCCATCTCCCAAAGGGAGGCCATTATGACGACCCAGCAAAAGCCGTTACGATACACGACTGCTTGAGTCAGGTGTACGATTGTGAGGATGCCAAACAAAATGGAAAAAGCTACTGCTGCAGCGAAGTTCGGGAAGTACACCCATAGCGCATTGCATGCATCCGCAGGGACGTAGCCATCAATGCCTGGAGTTGCGTATGAACTGAAGCCAGGCGTGCATGTCTGGGTCGGGAGGTCGAGGGAGACTTGTGGTATTGACGGCGCAGCGATTGATGGTAGGTCTAGTGAGAGCGGAGGTATACTTGGCGCGAAGTTATCATCGCGGCGAGAAGGCGGTATTACAATGGAAGGAGGCGAGGTGATTGTGCTTTGAGCAGATATCACTCCAGAGGGGATGAATGCCGGTGATGCGGCAGATTGAAGGACCAGCAGCAAGGTGTTGAGGAATAGAAGTGAGAATCTCATCGCATGAGCAGCACAGAAAGCAACGTGAACGTATGGGTGTAGTATGTAGATGATGATCCGATGCTGAATGCGATTAATCTACATAAAGAGACATACTTATATCCGCGATATGTTGATGAAGAGACATCGTAGTCATTACCAATACGGGTAGCGCAAGTTCAGTCGTCGTGGATGGTGAGGCTGAGAGCCTGAGGCGTCTGTGCCGCGGATGGTAAGGCGTGCAGTTTTCGAAGTTTCAGTAATTGACGATTACCCGGCTCGCAAGGTTTACCTATGTCGTGCTGCAACAACCTTGGCGACTGCAGGTGCCCACCAATAAGCAACTTAGATTAGATCGAATACAGGTACAAGCGAGTAGACTTCATGCGATGGCCACGCCGGTCCAGGCGGCTGCGACCGAGACAGCCTTGCAGGGAGCGAATGTGCAAGGATCGCAATCCTTCAGCCCCCACATCACACACCAACTCTACTACGACGCGTACTGCACTGCGAAGCTAGTAGACTCTACTACATCCCAATCGTCGACTTTCTCTTCGTCACCGAAGATGCGGAGCGCGCTCACTTTCATACGATACGAGCCCTCATCAAGCACCTCCCCACTCGCCATTAGCCCATTGAAATATGCGCGAACTTCACTCCTTGCGATGTACGTTTGCGGAAATCCAGCCAATGCACCCAGGTTCTTGTCGCCCTGGAAGATCTCCACACGCAGCAAAGGTGACCCAACTGTAGGATTGATGTACACGTTCGGGGTTGCGAACATATCACCGCGATCAGTCATAGGTGGGTTCTGAGGATCCGGTCGTGGAATGACGTAAGACGCGTTGGCGGGAGTGGGCGTGTATCCTTGGGCGAGGTATACAGTCTCCGATGTGAGAACGGGAATGGCGTGCATACTACCCCCAACACCGAGGTAAGGGAGCACGAGCTTGTCGCCCAGGGCGATGAAGCCACTGTACACAGGCAATAGAGTTGCGTTAAGTCCTGCAGGTGCTGTGAACTCAACGGTGATGTTGGCAGACTGGCCGGCAGGAATGGTGATGCTATCGGAAGAGAAGGATACGGTCGCCCATGACTCTGCGATAGCGTTGGGGAATGAACCAACACGCAAGACATCGGCTTTTGGATCCATAGTGTACATTGTGACGGCTTTTCGGTGTTCCAAACCAAGAGCCTCTTCTGCGGAGCCAGTGTTGGTGATGGTGAAGGTATGAATGCCAACGAAGTGGTCCGTGTCGTTCAGCATCAGACTATCGACATTGATCTCGAGGGTAGTATGAGCAGCATTCCAAGCTTGCACAAGTCCAGATCCTTGTTGTGCGACTGGGGCGAGGATGTCGGGATGAGCAGTCTTTCCGTCGTGCCAGGCCAGTGGCTTGGAAGTATGTGTGAGAATTCTGCGGAGACGCTTTGGTTCCAGCTTGCCGTAAACTTCGCCGAGTAATGCGTAAACACCCGCGACCAATGGCGTTGACATGCTCGTGCCAGTCATGACGCGGTAGCTACCTAAAGCCGTTGGATACGTGCTCAGGATGTTCTCTCCAGGTGATACGAGTTGGGGTGACATACCAAGCTCCCAGCTTGGGCCCCAGCTGGTCAGTTCACCTGCGACATAGCCACCTCGCTCGTTGTTCTCGAGCACCTCAAGGTAGGTCTGGGTTCCATTGGCTGGGATGGTCACAGAGACTGTGGCGCCTTGTGAAAGTAGAGAGATCCAACGCTCAGCAACATATGGCACAGCCTTAACGACACCCTGAATACCATCGGCGTATACATAAGGTTCGTCACGCATAGTCAGATTGCTGCGCTCGTAATATACCATGAATCGCGCACCCTTTGCGGCGAGGTTGGCGCCCTGGTCTTGCGGGTAGCATTGAGTTGCTCGTGAATCCTTGAACTCCAAAAGTACGATGCGCTGGCTCAAATCTGGCGTGTCGTCAGGTAGCGGTTTGCAAGCATCTTCTACATCGGCAGCAGACCATAGTGGAAGTGTTGTGTCGTTGGCGAACTCGGGAACGCCCATCAAGAAACCAAAGTTGGCGGTGCTGTTAGTAGTAGCGTTGGAATCGGTTGTGTAGGAACCTTGTGCAAGGAAGGTAGGATATTGTGTATTAGAAACCGCTCCTGTGCCCGTAATACTGCTTCCCGTTGCTGGCGTGGAAGCGTAGAACATACCCTGGCCACCGTCATTACCCTCAGAAATGACGACTGGAATGCCAGAATCAACGATGCGCGAGATGATGGTAGCGCGTACGTCCTGCGACCAGCCTGAGGCGTCGCCATTCGAGTAGGAGATGATATCTGCCCCATCCTCGACGGCACGAGCAAATGCCATAAGCTCAATCTCATTGGTAGATGTTGATGCGCAACCCCACATTCGGTACGCGCCGAGCTTTGCCCCGGGTGCAGATCCAGTGAAGCCATACTTGTTGCCCTCGAGCTGAGCGGCGATAGTACCTGCGACATGTGTACCATGTCCAGCGCAGTTGTCCATGGGATCGTCATCGGGTTTCAATGGAGATGTGCCGGGGTTGTAGTCGTCGCCTGTGAAGTCATACCCAATCTCAACGAGACAGCCTGGACCAAAACAGCCGCCAAGCGCTGGATGAGTGTAATCGACTCCGCTATCAATAATAGCGACACGATATCCTTTGCCTGTGACGCCCTCTTTGTGCAGCTTGTCAACCTGAGTCATGACATGAGGAGAAAAGGTATCTTCAGATGTAGTTTGCCGCTTGACGTGTTTCTGCTGAGCGGGTGCCGCGACGTTGTCCTCACGCGAACGTGTCGTGATACGGGTCGGCCATATGTTCTCCACCTGTGGTTGTGCCCCCATCTGACGCAAGAAGTCCCACTCGCTCGAATTCGAGCTTGAGTCCTTGAGCTGGAAAGATACGCCATTGAAGAATCGAAAGCTCAAATTCATGCGATGTTCGACATTGACACCGCTGGCTGCGAGGGACGCGTAGAAACTCTCTGGTGTTTCATTTTCGTTTGCAAATTCGACGATGTAGGCACCAGGGAGAACGCCGCTTATCGCTGGCGCGTCGTTCGCCGTTCGTTGTACGATCGCACTCGGGTGGACACGAGCATGTACCGGTGTTGGAGAGACAAGCTGCGCACCCATAACAAGGGCCGCAATGGCAGAAGAGAACTTGCCCATGGCCAGAGATGTGAACGAATGTGAGATTGCGCATGAGCAATCGCGCCCATGACGCCCATTATATCTGTACGAGCACCAAGCCCGTAGCGGCGCGTGGGTGCCGTAGAAGCTTTGAGAACATGTCGGTTGTTATGCTCGCCTCGTATAGCAGAGTCACGTTGCCCAATGTGCCTCGTGTGTGCGGAGAGAATAGAAACTCCAGCATGGGGATCTTGGACAAGATCCACTTCCAATATCAATCTTCGGCCTCTTTGCCTGTCCAGGAATGCGACCGGAGAATCAATGCTACACGCGAACCAAGCCCCACCGTAATGAGATGTTATCGTACAAGCCCCAGTCTGACATTAGACCCAATCAGAGTAGCGACCGCGCATGTCGAATACGATGTCTCGTGACGCTGCTTCGTGTTCTTGATGGTGGAGGCCACGGTAAAGCTAACGAGCGGGAGGCGCCGAACGCGCCGCAAACGGGTCGTTGCTCGAGAAGCTGTGGGTCGTGATGTGCGTGAGATCAGCGAGTGTCGCGCGAAGTATCATCGGAGGTCGTAGCGACTGTTGTAGAAGATGCGCATGCTAATGGAGGGTGCCATAGGTGGCGGTGGACGCGAGGGCTGCAGTGGTGTTGCACCTTCGTAGTGCCAAGACTCTTCCACGACTCGCTGTTCGCACACACAGTTCCCCACTCGACCACCAGCCAACGCTTACGATATGTCATGGCTGGATGCTCTGACACGCATTCATTATCGCACAATGTGTGGATATGAAGCCTGCATACACATGCGATGATATCCTAATGAATTATCTGCCGGTCAGGGAATACGGCCGCAGCGTACGATTGAGAACCAGGCACCGTCTCGACCCATCCGATCATAGCGATAATCAAGACAGAGTTCAAGCCCGTTGGTAGCATGGAGGAGCTCACCATCCGACTAGGAGATAAGCTTAGCAGAAAGATGCGCACGCATCCGTCGAAGAAACCGTCATGCCATGGGCGAATCGCGCGACCTGCGTGCAGTTTTCGGGTTTCGGGTTTGCGCTCGGCCAAACCCGAAGAAAAGACTATCAACTACGTTTGATGGACTTTAGCCGAAAGAAGAGAAGTCAGACCCGAAACTCGCCAAACCCGCGACGGCATGTAGTATGGCAAACGCGCCAGACCGAGTGGAACGCCGTGTTGTGATCAGCTGAAAATCGGACTGTTTCCACTCGAAGCTGCATTGCAGAATTGCGACAATCCCGCGACCTCGGAACCTGCTCTCGGAACCTATACCCAATGTCTGGATCATCCCCGGAGCCATCGCTCCTGCACCGTTCTTTAGCGTACCAGCCCCATAGAGTTGTTTCAGCTTCAGGCCATTACCTTTTCCTAGAGGACGGAAAATCTATTCTCGATGCTTGTGGTGGCGCTGCTGTAGCCATAATAGGCCATGGAAACAAGGAAGTTATTGCAGCTACTGTAAGACAGATGAGTCTTGTCAGCTACGTGCACACGGGTGCATACACTACAGACTCTGCCGAAGATCTGGCCAAGTGCATCCTCGAGCACCAAGGCGCAGCCGAATGCAGCCCTTACAGGCATGATCTGACCAAAGCCTTCTTTGTTGGCAGTGGCAGCGAGGCGAACGACGCTGCAATGAAGTGTGCTCGTCAGTACTGGTTCGAAAAGAACGAAACACAGCGGAGGATCTTTGTTGCAAGGAAGCAAGGATACCATGGAAACACATTCGGTGCTATGTCTGTATCTTCCGTTATCGGACGCAAGGTGCCTTACGAGCAGATCCTGCTTCCTAACGTCTCTTTCGTTGGCCCGGCCGACCACTATCATGGTGCCAAAGATGCAGAAACGGAAGAAGAATACGTTACGCGACTTGTTGAGGACATCGAGCAAGAATTTCTGCGACTTGGACCTGAAAATATCATATCTTTCATGTAAGAGTTCCTGGACACCAGTCGTGCGGCTTTAAAATAAGCTAACAAGTCATCACCAGTGGCGAGACGGTAAGTGGCGCGACTCTAGGTGCCATGGCATCACCGAAGGGCTACTGGCCTTCAGTTCGTACACTTTGCGACAAGTACGGCATACTCTTGCATCTAGATGAGGTCATGTGCGGAACGGGTCGCACAGGCACCTATTTCGCTTTTGAGCAAGAAAGAATCCAGCCGGACATTGTCACTATTGGCAAAGGGCTCGGAGGCGGGTATGCTCCTATCGCAGGCATGCTTATAAATCGGAAGATTGTAGATGCTCTTAAGGAAGGATCATCGGCATTCAACCATGGACAAACTTATCAGGCGCATCCTACTTCTTGCGCTACTGCTTTGGCAGTCCAGCAGATCATCAAGCGCGACCACCTCGCAGATAGATGCGCCATTCAAGGACAAAAGCTGGGCCGACGTCTTCAAGACACGTTCAAAGAGTGCAAATATATTGGGGACATAAGAGGACGTGGGCTATTCTGGTGCCTAGAGTTCATGGAAAATGCCACAACAAAAAGGCCTTTCCCTCCGCAAATGGCTTTTGGATCTACCCTGCAGCTCGCTGCATTCGATTTGGGTGTAGCATTATACCCTGGTGTCGGTACGGTGGACGGCTTGGAAGGAGATCACATACTAATTGCGCCTCCATATACTGTAACAGATGCGGAGCTGGATACCATCGTCTCGACTCTGAAGAAAGCATACGACGATACTGTGAAACAGCTCCTTGGATGCTGATCGATACGTTCTGCTCCAATGATTTACAAACATTCTGTGTTTGGCGAAAGCCCACTGTAGACAAGATATCCACTATCTTCTTGATCCCATAGCGGCCATAATTGACTCCATCCCATATCTGATTGCCATGTCATCTCCGGCATGTCCCCATTGCAATTCGTCTCGCACAGCCCTTGCTCTTCTAGACGTGTGGAAGTGCTGTCCCGTATGAGACTCGCGTCAGGATTTAGATCACGATACTCATCAACTGACGGCCTTCGACGCCGACAGTCATGCATGGAAGCCTCTAGGGCGTCGAAATCTGTCCTTGCTCTTCCTTGGTACCTCTCCAAGTCCGCACTAGCATGATCGTACAGTTGCTTGGTACGCTGGCTCGTCAGCCACCAGCGTTCTCCAACAGGCCATATCTTGCGGAACGTATCAAGCCAAACGAGATTCTTCTCTACAAGTGATCGACCGTCTTGAAGTTTATCGGGGCTCATCCAGGGGAAAGCTGATCTGTACATATTCATCGTTACTGCTGAGAAAACACAGAAGCTTGGGAAGGGCGTGTGCAGCGAAGCACCTGCATTATCTAGGTCCTCCATGATGGTAGTTATAGAGCCTGCAGACGCGAAAAGCTCAGTTGCTCTCGCATCCCACCATCCCACAGGTGCATCTGGAGGAAGCAGTGGAGGATCGATTGGTCCAGAGGGTCGATCGCACGTAGTTGGCAGAAACGGGAGGTACTCGCGGTTTAGGAAGATCAGACTGTCACCTCGAAGTCTCAGATGAATTTTCTTGCAAGAATGTATGTGTTTACGCACCTGATGTAGTAGACTAGGTTGACGTAGGCGAAAGGCTCGGCCTGTTCGAGTGCAGCATGGCTCTCCACGGAGACTTTGGGGAAAAGCATCCGTTCTTCCAAAAGGCTTCTCCATGCCTGTAGTTCTTGATATAGTAACGCCCAGGGTGACGTCGGATTCCAGGGACAATTTGCAGGAAGACTCATATCAGGCAAGAACCTTCCTCCACTAATGACCCACTGTAGGATGCGCGCCCATATATCGAAGCCCCTAACGAGAACGTTGTAGGAGTTCGCCATGTTTCCAGGCATGTCATCGAGGAGACTTCGCCCAGCTGTGGCATGACGTGACGACACTGGGGGCAGGCCAAACACGAAGTCTTCTTCTGACGAAGGCCAAGAGGTTCGCAGGGAATTGCATGAAAGCGCATATGGCTGAGGCATCCCTGAGAAGATTAAGCGATCCATGATAAAGCAGCTCCACAAGGTACGATTGTGCACATTCAGATCTTCGGGTTGGTGTTCTGTACAAGCGGTCATGGACTGTAGAGACTGCATCATCCTGATAGCCATGCCGCTGCTCAGCCAGGCTTGCTGTCGGTTCCCGACTCCCCACTCGTACATGGAGAGTACCAACAGCGTTTGAACCGTTACCAAGCTCGGTGGCGTCAAGACCGTCACCCGGTCTCGTACTGCTGTGGCAAATTGATCTGCTGTAGATAGTCTCGCCTTATCTTTCCCTGAAACAGCATGAACAGCCATAATGGATAAAAAGAAAGTTTGCAATGCCGGTGATTCTAAGCTTTTCAAGCTCTGAAGGTTACGAAGCGACTTTGAGATGGTGGGTAAATGGAGGAATCGTAGCTCTGGAAACTTTCGTTTGAAGACCAGGCATGCGCGTATCAGTTCCGTGCCATCTCGTTGAAATAGAACATCGTTCGAATCTGATGCATGACGCTGGGCATTTGCGCGCTGTCTGACAGGAGTTGTTCCGGTCCCAACAGCGGCATGGCTATCACCGGATACGGATGGAAGATTCGTTCGCTGAGAAGTGCTGGGCGGTCTGCGAATTTCAGCATTAAAACACTAGTGTGAAGTGTTACTTTGTAGATTGCTTACGGGCAACGTGAAGGCTGCGAAAGGATTGGGCTCGTCAGAACGCACTGGCCCGGTTCGATGCGGCCTTTTTTGGAACAACTACGACAGGGTGGAAGACCCTCGTGGATACATTTGATCTTCTGCCGGCTGTACAGCGTTAGAACAACTCTCCTCGGGAGTATTCCTCCCACCTACCGGCAAGAAGCGCATGCGATGGTTTTCCGCGCCATGACGTATGAACGACGCGTCGCAAGGTGAGGCTTCGGGTTTCGGGTTTACCCAGGCGCGATCCTACGACGGGTTTCGGCTGGCGGGTGTGCGGCGCGCTCGAAAATACGAACGGCAAAGAGCTTTTCTGAATTTAGTTCTCATCTTCTACCAGCGAGGACGTCGCCACACGGGAAGAGTTCTCTTGTTGGCGATACAGGTTGCGACGAGAGGAAGCACAGTTGCTGGCGCCTGCTGCTGTCAACCGCTGTGCGTGTGGGGCACGACTGTGCTTGGCGCTGCCACCAGCATGCCGCGAGCACTCAACGCTGGCTAATCTACATACACCATACTTACTTTCAAACATTTGACTCCTCACTGTGTACAGAGGTATGTTCGATTAATGGGCGCACTCGGTATGCGCTCGACCATGTATCACTCAAAAGTCATAATAGAGGTGGAAGCTTGAACACAATCCCGCACGATCATCCTTGAGGAACAGGAAACAGCGTCACGAGGTATCGCGTCTGACATGCAAGACCGCCAGTCTGATTGGAGCTTAATGCCGATCCGGGGTTTGTACTCTCATGGCTCAAAATGGCAACTACGTTCGCCAAGGCACAATTGCGATTATCCTCAACGATGATCGACATTTTTGAATCTGGAACCCATGTCCGTGCACCCGAAGCCCTTCCATGCACGCCAGACAGGCATGATGATGGCCAAGGATGCTAACCAGTGGTTGCCGATCATCCGTCAAGTTTGGCGGACCCATGAATTGGAGGTGGTTGAAGCCTGGGAGATAGAGGCATGCGGGAAGAGAATGCAGATGGTAAAGCGAAGGAAGTTAGCGGACGAAGGCCGCCATACCGTTCGACGGCAAGCCAAATCGTATGGTTGTGAGAAACGAGCAAGTCGCAGGTAAGGACAAGGAAGGACCTGAAAACGAAATCTGGAGACGAAAGCCGAAGCCGAAAGCCGACGACAGATGGCCGTATGATTGTATGCGCACAGCGTACTAAACTTCTGTCGTCAGAAATTGCGTATCCAAGGGTTAGGGGCGATGCGAGCACAATGGCCCGAAGTAGTACCGCTAGGTAACATATTAATTGTTTTCGTGATTCTCCACACTTGACACGCAATGTCCCCCACACTGTAAAGGTTGTTGCCTAGCTATCTTTTGGGTACAAAAGATCTTCACATCCGACTTGAGGATTGATACATACAACATTTCAACCACTTATCTACGATACACAAAGATCTCTATCTCAATATGACCGTAGTCGAGATCGGCCTCATGGGCGTCAAGCCCGGCCACGACGTCTTGAACCCCAAGACCCACGAAGGCCAAGTCCTTGACTTAGCATGGAGTACCGTGACCACTGCACCGGGCGGCCCGTACTGGGCATATGGAGGCATCGAGCCTGACGACACTTTGCGACTCTGGTGCTTCTTCTGCTTCGACGATGTGAAGCATCATATGGACTTTGCCAAGACGTAAGTTAAACGCGTTTGAGGACTTTGCTATTGGAGAGCCAGAAGCTGACGATAGTTGGGTACGTGTAGAGGTGGAGCTGAAGCGGTCAAAGACCTACCCAAAATCTTGTCTCACCCGATCTTCGGCTGCCATGTGGAGCTCGATGGCGAGGCCAGGGACGTGCTGAACACGCCTGTGGTGCAGGTCACGTTGTTGTACTTCTCACCCGACATAACCGCTGCGGAGAAAGAAGGTATCAGCAAGACGTTCACGACCGGGATCGGAGGGGATCTCGATTCCAACACTGACATGCGAGCGGTGCGATCGGGCTGGAGTGTCGAGAAGGATTGGCCGATGTTGGAGGGCCGCGAGAAGGGCGAGGGAACGGGCACTGTGTTTAGCATCCTCGTGGGATGGTCTGGTGTTGAGGCGCAGAAGAAGTCTGGAGTCATTCAGGATTTGGTCGGGAAGCTTAAAACGGGTGGGAACGGACAATTGATTCATTCCGCGACCAAACTCGTCGGATGCCGAGAATTTGGCACTGCGAGAATTTGAATCGATATATCTGGCATTCGGTTGATAAGCTCAACACGTCTAACGTCAGGTGAGAAGTCACGTATCATAGTTGAGTAACATCCAACGGTGCTTCAATTCAACACATACACGTCACTGTACTGCACTGTTCTTGTTATTAGCGACCTACACTACACGCGCACTGTCATACTACAATTCGTTGTGTCAGAAGGCTACCGGGAGTGCATGCAGCGTAAGGATATGGACTGCAAGCTATGGCTCTATGGTTTCTGCAGTCAATAGCAATAAACACTAAGATCATCAGGAATCGAGGAGCATTACCGTAAAGCTATCGCGTGATGTCCGCTATCTCGTAATGCCAGGAACGTCCGAATGACGAACGTAGATACAACCACCCCTATCGCTACCACGGGAACGGATCGATGGGCTAAGCCGCAGCAGTAGCCTGAGGGGAATGACACCCAGGGCTTATTTAGTGATCGTCCTATTTTGTCTGACAAGCGTTGTAGTACGTCTGACAGCGCACAATATACGTACACGTAGTATAAAGGCATGCAACATGTGTCTGGTGATGCGTCAGAAAGAGGCTCGCCTAGCATATGGCAACCGCTTCACTCCATGTCAATACATCACGCTCTTTTATTATAAGTCAAGCATGACGGCCTGCTTGAGACCCTCACCTCCAAGAGGGGAAGACGATAAGAGGGTTGAAATGAGCGAGCTTGCTGAAGTTGACGAGCTGTACAACCAAAAGACTGCGCAAGAGAAGCGTGATGCACGTGCAAAAGAGAGGAGAGAACGCGACCGGCTACAGGCTGAGCAGGTCAAGGAAGTTGCCGAGCGCAAAGCAGAGGAAGAACGTCAAAGGCTGGCTCGCGACTATTAATAAGCTATTCAAAGGCCGTCTTCAGGCAAGTGCAGGGCTTTACACTAAGCAGCACTGAGGAAAAAGCAGAAAGCTAGTTATAGGAGTGAAGGCGATGGTGCCTCGCGCACAGCGCGTACCCTAACACCGCTACACTAACACTCGCGACCGCAAACTCCTCTGACTAAAGATGTATCAGTAAAAAAGTTGGTCGAAAAAATTCGTAGAGTACCCTGTTGAGTTGTCTTATAACAACGACCTGTGTGTGTTGCTTTACAGCCTTAATTTTATGTAGCCTGTTTTGGTGATGCGCGTCTATTAACTGACGGTGTGCATTGCTTGCACGAACACGGTATTTGTGGAGCCGCAGCGTCATTTGTTTCCGATAGGCGTCCGGCTCGTTCTGTTGGGAATAGGAGAATAAATGCTACTTCCGTCGATGTACAGGGATTACTAAAAATGAAAATATCGCTGATCGTGGTTGTTCAGCGTCTCCGGGAAGCGCGTACCACAAACTGGACCGGCCGGTTGTAGAGACGCTAAGCGCCCGTTCAGATGATCGTTTGCCTCACGATCTTAGATCGGAATTCTCCACGGATCGTAGTCGGTTCGCATCCTGTTTAATGCTAGTCATCCTTAGCCGGCCATACTGTACCGACTTCCCGCACGCGCATCCCTTACGTGGTCGCTACAATTGTAGTACTTTTACAGCGCTCTGAAGCCATGTTGTATCCAAGCCGACACTTCCAGTCCCTATACCTACTCAACAACCATGAAGCGGCGAGAATTCCAATGTAAGCGGACGCTCATCGTATGTATCGTCACTAGTCATTGTCTATAGTCATGTTCTTACTTGTAGGTCGCGGCCGTATAGAAGATTGCCTCCAAGTTGGTCTCCCTCAATATCTCCACGCCAGAACCAATCCCCTCACGGCCCTTATCATTACACGATAAGCATACCTCTAAAGACAGCACATACGATCAGTCGCCTTGGATCAACCGCCGTATTCTCGACGGACTTACCGAACGAGAATTACACCTAGCATGTCGCCACATCCTGTTAGACTCTAAGCCGTCCCATCATGGCCTGAGGAGCAAAAGCTCTGAGCTTGACTTTGGTGGGCTTGGCCGACAGAAGAAGAGCACTGTACAAGCCCCCGAGATAAGCGTACACATGCCCATCAGCGCGCTCGCAGAACTGTCGTCAAGTTCCTTGATCGGCGGACGAGGACCCAACATCAAGACACGAACTCGACCGAAAGCAAACATGAAGGCAAGAGCAAGGAGCTATAGAGGAGCCCCTGCATGCGCGGATAGTAATGGCAAGCGAGCCGCTTTCAGACGACTTGATGAACGGGGCGCTCAGAAGCAGGGGAAGTTAAGAACGCACGACAAGGTTCCCAGCTATGTACCGCAGTGGACTAACGACTGCGGCCAAGACGTTACGCTACCCGTAGTAGTCATTTCATCCCTCACGAACGCCAATATGTCGTCATCACGACCGGCTGGTCTTCTGTAAGCAACCTTGACCAAGGTCTCGACACAGGCTCTAGCAGTCGCACTCGATAATCAAATGAAGGTTGTGACCCTACCTCGCAATGCAACAGGAGCGCCGAGGCGTTTAGTTCTTCTTGCAAGATGATCTTGAACACGATCGCGCACAAGATCCATCAGAACCAGTCTAAAACCTAGGCCGAAAATAGCGAGAGTTTGGGGCGAAGACGGCATTAGTGAGTTGATGTCTAAGAAAGACTAAAAAGTAACTAAACCTACAGAATAGAGAAGGAGAATGTCGAAAAGGATGTCTCAGTGCAGGAACGCAGCACAGGTGCATCACCTGTGGCACGCTATATATCTCGTTTGTTTGTTATAGTCTAGAACAGCGTCTTCCGTTCTAAGCACTTGTTTGATCTAGATTAGAATATTTATGATACAGAGTAACTTTAATGTATAATACAGAGTAAGACGACTCCACATTCTGCACTGCGAGAATTTGAAACGACAGGTGCTATCCATTATCTTACAACTTCAAAACTACCTCCCCTGTGCTCTACTCTTGCTCTTAGCCCTCCTTGTTGCGTTTTTTGGAGTTCTTTTGAGATCTCTGAATCGGTCTTCTCACTTGCGCCTACTATATGCTCCTCAACCTCTTGTGACTCAAGAACCTGAGCCAGCGCAGACCATGCTTTGCCAAGAAGGGTCGAGCGCGTGTCTCGAACGAACATGACGATCAGAGTTGCCATGACGACGAAATGAGCTGCCAACACCCACAAGACGATTGTCAATCCCACATAGTCTCCAAGAAACAGAACGTTCTCAAAGAATGATACCGTGATATTGTCGACCCAGTCAAAGGCAGGCTGTTGGCTGTGATAGTTCAACATGGACAAGATAGTAATAAGGCTAGACATGGCCCAGCTTATAGAACTCGTCTCTAGGGTGTTGTTAAAAATGGCCGCTAACGTTGGATCAGCGGCCATCACATGCGATATGTTCGCATAATTGCCTGGGAGCCGGCGCAGCATGGTAACAAGGGGGTCTCCGGACATGAACGCCTAACCTATAGGACGCGGATGTTAGGGCCCGATCATTGTCGAAACGGGTGTAGCGTTAGGGTTGCGCGATCGAATCGGGCCTGCTATAGGGGGCGAACATCGTGTCTTTTACCCCTAATTATTGTTAAAATAGGCTTAGTGTTAGGGTTACGCGATAAAATCAGGCCTACTATAGGAAGTACTTAGGGTAATCTTAGGGTTAACTTACTAAGCATAGAGTTCTGCTAGAACGCACAGCTACCTGCAACGTTAACTGCAACGCAGCACCGCAAGCGACCGCGTGCACGCAAGATAACAATTAACAACGTGCAAGAGCGCTTTTGCTATCTCTAGCGCTATTAGGTGCTAGTCTGCAAGGAGCACGCTACAGGCATACAGAACGTTAATGTGCACCTGCGTAACTAGCACGGCGTAGCAAGCGAAGAGAGGAAATCTGTTGTAGAGCACTGCTAGCAATAGCAGATTACTGCACCGCAAGATGTTAAGCTGCCTGCGCTGTTAGGGCCTACCCTAGAGGATGTGCGCGATTGCACTACAATCGCGCTGTTTTGTTAGTAGCGATAAGAATGCGATAAGAAGCGAGGCGTAGGATCGCG